CTGTACAGTGTACATGTATTGGCTCTGTAATATTCTTATTTTACCTTGTGACGCTAGTAATATGTCTCCTAGTACTATGTATAATGTTATATATTATATATAATGTTATATATTATATATCTCATATATAATGTTTAACTTCATCTTCTAAAATTTGTAAATGGTTTAAACGATTAACAATAGGCTTTAGGTAAGCATGTATACACGACTTATTGTCATTATATTGGGAGTTTTAAGTCACTGTGATATTGACATGCTACATATTTGGGGACCAATCTTTGAGAGGGATAGTAACCATGGAAACAGATACATAATTGGAGGTTTTAGTTAAGATTGCATTATTAGTAGATTTGTTTGTTACCATCTGTTATTTCCATACTTTTACTTTGAGATTCCTCCTGGTGATGTTATATTTTTTAGAAAAAAAAACAATTCATGCAGTGAAGGACAGTCAAAATTTCTATGCTGGAATGAAGAATAATAATATTTATGAAATGTAAACCGTTACTTACTTGGGTTACTTGGGTTGAGTTCCGAGCTAGAGTGCTACCAGGCCAAGAATGTCTTGCATCTCCCCCGCCAAGTAGTAGCACGTCAGAGACATGTGCCACCGGCCCACTCCAGCATTGAGTTCCTGTTCTGTCCAGTGTACCCAGGTGTTGGTGGAGTGTCAGGGAATTCATTGAGGAAAGCATCAAGAGCAGGTTTGAAAGTGGTCAAGGTTAGGAGGGACTTGATGCTAGGAGGGACCACGTTGTACAGTGCAGAGGCTCTAGAGGCAAAGGAGTTGAACCTCAGGTTATTGACACTATTGTACTTGGAGGACCCTAGTGGTCGTATACACGTAGTTCCGTATCGTGAGGTCTCGCGGAAGTTGATGTACTCATATTTTCAAAAATTTCTAAATTTAAATTTGAAAATTTTATCTGCTAGTATTCTTACGTTTCAAAAAGATATAGTTATGTATTTCACTTCTGTCTAAATCATGTATAATAATGTACTCGTGGCAATTTCTCCATCATCCATTAAATTAGTGGGTTACAACTATTTAGAGGTTACCAAGGTTACCAAAACACCAACTTTACTAAGGTTACCAACGTTACTAAGGTTACCAAGGTTACCAACTTTACAGGCCAGTTCTACCTCTTGACACTGCATAATGTTCAATGAATATTGAAGTTGTTTCTTAGCATATTCATATAAGTCGTGGCACTCATCGAGTATCGTAACATCTTATAATTCAAATAATAAAACCAATTGTTCTCTTCTCATGTTGTTCGCGAGAAACTAATCCAATCCCGCCCAATATATAATGTTATAGAGCAGTGATGTCTCTATAGTTACCACTATCTCTATCTTTAATTCTCTTAATATCCCGCATGTAAAAATGTCAGCACAAATAACTTTCTCCGCCAGCTACAACTTATTAACTAGAGTTTGTCTGTTTGTCTCTTTGTTTGTCTGTAAGTTTGTCTATTTTTGTGTCTGATTGTACGTGTTTTTATGCACGAGGTAATATAAAGAGAATGCAGCAGTAGCAAGATGTTACTACATACTTGTAAATAATGTCACAACATCAAGTGGGTACAGCTGGTATTAAGGCGGGTCTCTCACCTGTTACTATGGTAACGTCATACTGCCCTCTGATTGGGTAAAACTCAGGGTACTGCCCTCTGACTGGTGGGAATGTTTGAAGAGGTATATTTAGATCTGTAGAAGGTTGATGTGTCTGAGTTTACTCGAACTTACCTTCTAGAACCAATCTTAACTAGTCATCTCTCTTCTTCCCCTCGTTCCAATCCAGTTAAGACTACTCTCTGTAGCATGTCCACTGGAGGCAATACAGCTAGAAGAAGAGGGAATTACTTGTTTACTGGAGCCTTTTGAGTGAGGATTCATTTTCAATAATTTTCTTCATCTGTTTGTCTCAGGGATCCATCTTTGTTATTTTCTGACAGATGCATCCAAAGTCATCTGAAATACATCGATTCGCTATCGTACAGAAAAACCCAGACCCTCGAACAATAATTAATCTTAATATCGAAAACAAAGATTCATCACCTAATCGAACAATTGAAGAAATTTATGGATCATCTGCCAAAATTGCATCTTCCATCTATCATGATAGTACCGAATTTTAGTAATGTTTCAGCCCCTAGACCCCTAGACCCCTAGACCCCTAGACCCCTAGACCCCTAGACCCCTAGAGTCTAGACCCCTAAAGTCTAGACCCCTAGACCCCTAGACCTCTAGACCCCTAGACCCCTAGACTTCTAGACCCCTAGACCCCTAGACTTCTAGACCCCTAGACCCCTAGACCCCTAGACCCCTAGACCTCTAGACCCCTAGACCCCTAGACCCCTAGACCCCTAAACCCCTAGACCCCTAGACCCCTAGACCCCTAGACCCCTAGACCCCTAGACCTCTAGACCCCTAGACCCCTAGACCCCTAGACCCCGCCCCTCCCTATCACCCATCACAAGGGCCTCGCCCCACAGGAGGCATCCTGTCAAAGTTAAAAACTTAAAAAGTCTCTGTAGTCAGGGCGACAATTACCAACTCCTTTAAAACTGAGTATAAATTACGAGTGACCTGTGCGTCAGTGTTCATTGTGAGCCCCTTGCAGCTGTCTACTGTAATGTTTATCTAGTGAGACTGTTCCCATGGTTACAAGTGACACTGTTGTTGGGGCGGCTGTTCGTTTGTTCGAATAAACGTTTGTATGTGTGTCTGTTTTTTGTGTTCGTTTGTTTGCATTACTCTGTCTTTTGGATAGTCTAAATAAAACACCTTATTTTTAATTTAAAGGTTTATTACGTCTATTCAATGGTATCTAGAAGTAACCATCTCATTATAAACCTCTACAGCTGTTTAAAAGTTTAAAAGTTCTGAGCAGGTGTTACTATAATTACTTGGTAGGACACATCGAAGAACTGTTTAATTATGAGCCTTAATTAATTTGGTGTCTGAGAAAAGATGATATTTATAATTATACTTTATTTGTCAGGGGTCACTCAGACATTGTTCTAATTCTGCAGTCATGTAAATTGTAAATATTCCGCCCTGTTATTTTCATACTGTGTCACGTGAACAGCTTACTGATTGGGTGTTTTTGGTCACGTGACAAGAATCAAGCGCACTGATTGGACCGTCCCAAGCACCCTCAATATGTAATTTCCTGGTCCGATAGCATTCCAAATAGGTCCGATGCAATTATTGTTCCTCGGAAACCATTCCTTGGAAACGTGCTCTCGATCCTTTCCTTCAGTCACTCATCACGGGCAAAGCAGAACAAGCCGATCATATATCACGTGACAGTGAGTTTACCAATCAGGACGCGCGGTATTATCACGTGACATGACGTATTATCACTTGACATGACGTATTGTCACGTGATGTCACGCGGCAGGTCTGATTTTAGCTTTACATTGTGCGGCGTATTTGACCATGTGCTGTAAAATTCCCTTTGTTTGCTTCTAGCCTACTCTTTATAACCTCATCAGCTGTACTTTGTTGTGTAATTTGTTGTGTAACATGCTGTATCCTTACTTACTGTATCCTTACTTACTGTATCCTTACTTACTGTATCCTTACTTACTGTATCCTTACTTACTGTATCCTTACTTACTGTATCCTTACTTACTGTATCCTTACTTACTGTATCCTTACTTACTGTATCCTTACTTACTGTATCCTTACTTACTGTATCCTTACTTACTGTATCCTTACTTACTGTATCCTTACTTACTGTATCCTTACTTACTGTATCCTTACTTACTGTATCCTAACTTACTGTATCCTTACTTACTGTATCCTTACTTACTGTATCCTTACTTACTGTATCCTTACTTACTGTATCCTTACTTACTGTATCCTTACTTACTGTATCCTTACTTACCGTATCCTTACTTACTGTATCCTTACTTACTGTATCCTTACTTACTGTATCCTTACTTACTGTATCCTTACTTACTGTATCCTTACTTACTTACTCCTAATTATACTCATGTTGGGATAGTTTTAACTTCTAACTACCTAGTATTTTGGCAATTTTGTTTTTTAGAGGTCACGTCGGTAAGCATTTAAGTGGAGCGCTGTTTTTAAGTTGTATAGCGTGTAATATATAATATAACTAACAAGGTGGACATGTTGTTTCTGCTCTGTAGTTGCGATCTTGACAATTGAAATAAAGACTTTAATAAAAACGATTTTAAACTATTTTCACAGCTACAAATAATTACATTTATTGAGACTGATGTCGAACATCCGAAATATTTCGTTACATTCAAGTCGTCGTTTCAATTGTCAAGATCGTGTCTTTACCGTTACGTCTTGTATACCAAACGAATTTTTTACCTGACTTTGTTTCTGTTTAGCAGAACGCTTACCGAACTTTTAGCCGTTACCATGACTACCATTATAACATACTAATCAAAGCCAAGTCAAGTTTACAAAACAAGAAATGTTATGGTTACACTCTCTTTATATTATATTGAATGCTGTATTTATGTTTATGATCTCTGCCCACTGTTTTAACCGACGACAGAAATACATTCTGATAGTAATATTGTATATTTTTATATTGATTGCAAATAAATGTTTTTAAAAGTTAGCGCCGAATCCTGCCTCTGGGTACTGGGTAGTGTATCAATGAAATACAAGTACACAGATACACAACACTTCCCACAAGTCACATTCGTCGAAATCCGACCTTTCAACTGCTTTATCAGCTGCTGATAAACTGATAAAGCCAGAAAACGGTTTCAATCAATGTAGTTAAGTTCAAATTTTCATTGAGTTATTCTTTATTGGTTGATTTTATTGACTAAAAACTTTGTCTCCGATAAAATTATTACTCAATTACTTAAATAACAGCTCAAATATCTAGGAATTAATTAACTGACAGTCACTAATTACCTAGAGAATTAATTAACTGACAGTTACTAATTACATAATGAATTAATAAACTAATAGTTACTAATTACTTAATTACCCTCAAGGTATAGATGGTGACGCGGGATACTCCCCCTCTCTGATGTTTTCAGATGTCATCAGACGGTCTCTCAACAATTCAGTAGGGAACACCGCGGTCAGTAAATCAGTTAATTAGTTAATTAGTCAATTAGTTTATTTGTTATTTTGTTAATTATTTCATCCCTAACGAATAACCACATCAATATTGAATACTCATCGAACTTATTAAGTTACTAATTTATCAATTAATAACTAAATAAACAACACTCCAACAGACGTCTGATAACAACACGCTAAATGCACTGCAGCCAGTAGCAGCTCCAGTCTCAGCAAACGCTACTGGAGACGACACTGACAAGAGCATATTTATTCTCGGTTAGTTTATTAAATATTTAGTTAATTGGGTAATTAATTAACTGATTAATTAAACTATTAGATTAATTACTGCAAATAATTTCATTACATTTTATCATCTACGGAGATGCTACTATTTTCCTGAATTTGAATCGAGTGGAGGATAGTAGGGGCCCTAATAGTAAGGACCCTAATAGTAAGGACCCTAATAGTAAGGACCCTCATAGTATAGGGGCCCTAATAGTAAGGACCCTAATAGTAAGGACCCTAATAGTAAGGACCCTAATAGTAAGGACCCTAATAGTAAGGACCCTAATAGTAAGGACCCTCATAGTAAGGACCCTAATAGTAAGGACCCTCATAGTAGGGGCCCTAATAGTTAGGTCCCTAATAGTAAGGACCCTAATAGTAAGGACCCTGATAGTAAGGACCCTAATAGTAAGGACCCTGATAGTAAGGACCCTACTAGTAAGGACCCTAATAGTAAGGACCCTAATAGTAAGGACCCTAATAGTAGGGGCCCTAATAGTAGGGGCCCTAATAGTAAGGACCCTAATAGTAAGGACCCTAATAGTAAGGACCCTAATAGTAAGGACCCTAATAATAAGGACCCTAATAGTAAGGACCTATAGTAAGGACCCTAATAGTAAGGACCCTGATAGTAGGGACCCTAATAGTAAGGACCCTGATAGTAAGGACCCTACTAGTAAGGACCCTAATAGTAAGGACCCTAATAGTAAGGACCCTCATAGTAGGGGCCCTAATAGTAAGGGCCCTAATAGTAAGGACCCTAATAGTAAGGACCCTAATAGTAAGGACCCTAATAGTAAGGACCCTAATAATAAGGACCCTAATAGTAAGGACCCTAATAGTAAGGACCCTAATAGTAAGGACCCTAATAGTAGGGGCCCTAATAGTAGGGGGCCTAATAGTAGGGGGCCTAATAGTAAGGACCCTAATAGTAGGGGCCCTAATAGTAAGGACCCTGATAGTAGGGGCCCTAATAGTAAGGCCCTAATAGTAAGGACCCTGATAGTTGGGTCCCAGGAACTGCAGCAATTGGTTTGTTTCCTGTTACTCTCCCAACACTGTATAGTCCTGTTGAGCATTTGGTGTATTGTTTTACGCACAGTGTCGTGTTTTGTAATGAGTATTATAGTGGTTTATTATACACAGCACGTATTCATTGCTTGTTAATATTCAGTGTTAATTTCAGTTTGAAATTCTCTCGAATAAACCACTTTTAATGGACGAAGTTTGAATTGTTAGAAAATTTGTTTATTTAAGGAGTTATGTTTTTACTTAGTTGTATAGTGATGGTAGCAGAAAGTCACGATATCTGGAATTATGGTGATTACTACAGTAATGATAATATTACTCCAGACTATTTACCTGGTAATTATACTATATTTTATTTATCTGTCTGAACAAAAATGCTTAATATTTATAAATAAATTAGTTGATAAAATAGTCAGCTACAATAACACAACAGCTATACCACTATTAAATACCAGGTGTAATTAAGTTGTTAGTTTGAAGTGCCAACAATGCACACTACACACTGAACTAGAACATTACACTATTACACTGTAACATTAGCATAACACAGTGAGCTTTCTACCACGCCCCCCACTGGCTCATGAGGGAGCATCTTAACATCTGCTGTACAAATACAGTGTCATAATATAGAGTGTATATATTACATAGCTCTCGGCCTGCCGATTGAGCACTGTCAGCAGACGACGCCACCCACAATAATATTATATAGACTGTGTTTACAATACATATATAGAGATATAGGGACCTAGCGAACATTGGTCGTATGAACACTGAACACACAAAGGATATTTTTTGTGACTATTTTCCAGCATTTTTACAATGCTATGTCAAGAGATAAGAGCTATTTAAAAATGTTTAATAGTACTATATAAATTTGCTAATAGCGTTAGCATATTTAGACATGTGTGCATATATTTATATTTGATCGTAATTAAAGATTTTGAGGCGTTAGTGTAATGCCTCCGGGTAGTGCTCCTCAATAAAAAACATTAGTGAACATTTGTACATGTAATAAGACAAGTGGGATGTTTAGTAAGCTACCTGGATCAGAGTACCATTCTTACATACCTCCCTACACTCACCATTGCTACACTCCTCTTTTTGGTATTCTTCAGTTAGTCCAGATTGTACAGATCAGAGTTTTCAGACATTAACTACTCTCCAGATAACACACCCTACCAAAGAGCTAAGTCTGAATGTCTGGCCAAATATCCCCAAATGCTTTGGTATCCATGGTAACCAACAAATTCCTTCATTCTTGTCATTCCAGTATCTTTACTGACTTTAGTCTCAGACCAAATTGCCTAAATAATCACTGAGGAAGCCGTGACCCGGCCAGGGAATAAGGAGAATGGTTTGTGCATTCCTAACATTGTCTGGTCGCTGCACGTGCAATATTTATTCGAATACAATTTATTTATCAATACTTTACCTTCGATAACAATACTGAGCAGTTTGTCGTGTTATTTTGTGTTTTTTCTGCTGCAATTAGTTCAAACTATTCAAACTGTTCGCCTCAATTCTTGCCCAATCAGGTGGGGGAACTAACTGTGAACATCACAGTGAATATCACAGTGAATATCACAGTAAACATCACAGTGAACATCACAGTGAATATCATAGGAGCTTCATTGTAGAGCACAGTTTTCTAATTCAGTTTTCTAATTTAACTCTAGGGTACTTGTAACAGAAAAGCTTGACTATTTGGAGAACAGGAGTACTACCCTTTCAAATATCCTCTGAACAGAATTCCATATTCGTCCCAAACTAGATATTATCCTCCATTTTAAGTTTAAACACCAACCCAATTACAGCTACTGCTCTACTGATTAACTCTCAGTTTTACAATTATTAGTTTTATTAGTAAAATAGTAAATGGATTAGGTGGCATTCTAATAATATCACCTGACAAAGTTGTTGAGCGCATATAGTTGTTGTGAAGTGAAAATTTAATACTTTAGCAACATGATATTGTATAATATATGTTACCATCTTTATACTTTTAGCAACATGCTGTTGTATCTATTACCATTTTAATAATTAACCATTTTATTTATTTACTATATCTATTTATTTACCATTTTATTTATTTGTATCTAACCTATACCTTGTTCAGGTATTCTGATAGGATTCTGCGTGTTTGCAGTGGTTGGAGTTACAATGACAGTTGTGTGCTGGATAAGGTACGTGAGAAATGAGCTTTATTATCTTAGTTACTAATAGTTACTAATAGTTACCATTAGTTACTTTAATGTAGTTATTATAATGGTGACTTATAGTTTATGCAATAGTTTGTAGTACATAAGATTAATTGTTCCATTATTAGTTATTTGATGGAAGAATGTAAGGAGGAATTGTCCTAACTCTCAAGTTCCGTTTTGAAAATTCCGTTACCACTCTGACCCTCCATTGGCAATGAAACTACACAGCAACTCAAACTTAGATTTGAAAAATTATTCTTTATATATTGTTGATAATGTATATTATTACTATAGTTACCATGGTTACAATACACTGTGATTCACATTTACATGAATAGGAAAAATAATTTCAAATCGGAATTTCCAGCCTCCAACTTATGATAGCCCCCTTACCTAGCTTATTGTTTGTTTGTTTATAAACAAATAGAACGGTTCCAAAATCTGAGTTTAAATACGGTTGGTGCCTGCATTCCTGCAATGGTATTTATTAAGCCTTTATATCTTAATAGTTACAGTCGAATTATACATGTAAGTTACCAGTGAATTTGATGAAATCGTACCTTCGTGATGGTTTGAATTGGTAGTGATTGTGCAATATTATACGTATTACGTAATAATATACGTATTACGTAAGATGTGACCCTGTGACTATCTGGCGCGCCTTGATTCTCAGACCAATTATCTACTTAAATTCTTACCAACAACATTGTGAGTTCATTACAGCTTAACAATAGATTTCTTTAGCTGTGAACTGTATGACGTGTAGTGTTCAGTATCCAGGACAGAACTAAACATAAGATTAGTATGTATATTCAGTTCTTATCAATCAGCTCAATTACCCTTATATATTAAGTTATAAACCTGGATTTAAATATACAGCCTCTGTAAACAGAGCTCTGTTTACAGTTCTGTACATACAACTATAAACACTTGTTTATAACCACTTTGTTTATAAATAATGATAATGTATTGACCTGTAGTGGTCCTCATTCCTCACCGCATGGGAGGTGTGCAATGTTTTAAACGAGTGTAACAGTGTGTAACAGTGTGTAACAGTGTGTCTTATTGTGTATATTTGTAGTGAGGGCACTGGATCAGCTTACTGGATCAAACAGTGGGTACAAAAGAGACTATAAATATAGTATAAACACTACACAAACAGTATAGTGTGTAGTGTGTACAGACCTAATAGTGAGGTATTATTGGAGAGTTGGGGGAAGTTTTGAGAAAGGACCATATTTTAATTCCTTTCTCGTGAAGTAATTAATTGTACGACAATGGAGGTTATTTTAATTGATGGATAAGGAGCTCTAAAAGTATTTAGGAAGGGATTGCATGAGTTTTGAAAGAATACAGCTGAAATCATCACTCACACATTAATACTTTAATATACAGAGATACTAGATACATTAATAATTAGTTACTAGAGATAGAGTGTATCTAGTTAATTCAGACCTAACATTAATTAGTTTAGTTCAGACCTAACTCAGTTAACCGTGCTACTTGTAGTCAGTGAATGTGACCAACACTGAGTATTGAGTAGTTGGTAGTTATAGTGAAGTTATGTGTAGTATCACGTCGCAATCTTTTTAAGCAGTAATATGTACATGCTTACAGTAAGTATAGTTCTGAAGTATAAAAGTGTTATCAGCATACCTACATATCTAGGTTTATTAAACCTAACCGGACCAAGTATCCATATTTAATTTTTTATCATCTTACGCTGCAAGAGTGTGAACTCAAAAGACAAAACAGCTCTGGATTCCGAAACTTCCTGAGATTCCAGTAATTTCGGAGATTAGCAACGTCATAAAGTGCACTGTAGTCTGTAACCATGGTAATTTCCAGCAACGTCATTCACAGCTCATCTTACAACCCTTCAGCCTGATACTCCCAGATATTTTACATTTTGTGTTAGTTTCCTAGACAAAGTTTACAGAACCTGTTCTTATATTTTATACTTTTATAGCTGCTTAGAAAAATTGCTGTCATAATCCTAATATACCTTAATGTGATCATAATTATTCTTTGCTTTCTTTGAAGATAATGATCATATTATAATGTATAGAATTAGTATTTAGTAGTATTGGTATTGTAAAGTATTATTGATACTCGTAGCTTGATAATGGGATATACGTAGCTTTAATAGCTTTTTAGATAATAGGTATAGATAATGATGGTAGCACGTGATACGTCTCGGCGTCTTCCTCATTATAGAGCTTTTATAAAAGTAAACATCTTATTAAATACTGAATAACATACTTTGGATGAGCATGTCACAAAGCTTACTTCGTCAGTTTATTGTTATATTCTAGTTACTTTTATTGTTTAATGTTATTGTTTACTTATTTGCCTGTTATAAAATCTGATTCTTATATATTGATGTACTTATTTTGAGGGTATTTTCTAGAAATAAAGTTTACCACTGCATTAGTCGTAGTTAGGTAAGAATAAGTTACCTGTGTCCTGTGCAAGATACTTGTAAGCTTACAATGCTTCTGAATACTTACTAAATACGAAAGCTTGCTTTAATGAACATTTCTAATTAATATCTGCTTAGTGTTGTGTTCCTTCCTTGGAAATAGACAGGAAAGATGTCTTTTCACTCGGCGTTTATGATAAATGTCACAAATGGTGGCGACGTTGTTTTGGCTCGAGCCTCAACGTTAACGAAATATGGAATTATCAGATTTAACGGTTAAGAGTTGAGTCAACCAAAATTTTAAACAAATTTATGAGATTGTCGTAAATGATGGCTGAACTCAGTGGCGTAACTTTGCCTGTTGGCGCCCCCCCGCTCAGTGACGAAAAGCGCCCCCTAAAATTTCTTGTGTCCCTAAAAAAAAAAAAAAAAAAAGGTCGGGTACTTTTTTTCTCGCCCCCCTACAGCTTTTTGCGCCCCTGAAGCAAAAAAGGGTACCCCAAATATTTTTTTCGCGTCGACTGAACGCTAAATTGGACAGGGAAATACACAAACAAGGCGTTTTTTCAGTGAAAGGGCCTAAAATTCAGTAAAAATTGCGCCCCCCTTATACGGCGCCCCCCCCCCCCCCCCCCCCCCCCCGCACAGCGGGGTCTGCGGGGCCCTAAGTTATGCCACTGGGCTGAAGATAACATTTTACTGACCATTTGCTTTAGAGTGACACTTTGGGTCACGTAAGGGTCTGCCCACACTACGCCTCTATTCCCCGAATTTCTGCCCACACTACACCATGTGGCGACGGGCCACATGGCGTGGGTCATGGCGTGGGTCAAAAGGCACAGTGTGTTTAGAGCTCCCGCCAGTTGGCGTGGAAACTCTCATGGAATAGAGGCACGGATTTTTAAAACATTTTGAAAACATGGCGTAGTGTGGGCAGAAATTCGGGGAATAGAGGGCAGAGGCGTAGTGTGGGCAGACCCTAACACTACTTCTTAAATCACAGCTACATTTTTAGTATCAGAAATATTTGTAGTTTCTCTTAATGAGAATTCAATTTTTTGAGAAAATTTAGCTCATTCGTTTTTGCGTACTTTAATCTTTACTTTTAAAACTTCTACTTTCCATAGAACGTCTTAACAGCACGCGCTAAAATATATTTATCATAACTTTTTCATTAAAAGCATTTTCTGTAACAGTTTGCGCGCGCGTTACGCGCTCTTCTTAATCTAAGACCCGGTTTATTATTTTATATTATTTAATATACTTACTCTTTGTCTCTAATAACCAATTAATTTCACCAATGGGAACTTGTATCTATTATACTCACAGTTCACTTTCTACCGACGAAATGCCTGACCCTCATTACATTTTAAGTAACTATATGAACTCTATTAAAGCCACCAGCCGACTGGTGTACAACATCATGTTCATTATCCAGTCTTTGAAAGGAACTCTTCTATTATAAGTAGCCCTGTGTAATACTCTGTGCTTATGAGCTATTTACAAACTATTACAAACATGCAACTTAACATTCTCATAGGAAGGTAGGTACTTATTATCTCCTGAGACCTACAGGTCCTAGTGTTCTGAAGATTGGGTCTAATCTGCGGAGTTTCACCACACTACCCCCGCTTTAACCACTGTTTGGATGATTACAGCCGCCACCGCGCTACTATATAAATAGGCTCTTACTAAATCGCTCGCCCAAATATTTCACGTGACTTTGGTTTTTTTGGTTTTGCAGCCGTACAAAACGGTTTTACATAAACCCTAATCCCAACCCTAACCCTAACCATAACCCCGAAGCTATCCATAATCTTAACCACAACCCTAACCCTAACCCGAGCCCTAAATAATCGAATTCACGTTTTACTAGCCTGTCACGTGACCAAAACGGTTTTTTGCCCATAACTGTCCAGGGAAGCATTTTAACCCTACGTCATGGGGGGTGATTCGGAATCAGCGTCCAAAAATACACCGATCAAGATCAATTCCATGCCTAAAGAGCCTCTTCACAAGAATTTTCTTAAAATTTGGGCGAGCGATTTAGTAGGAGCGATATAAATACCCCCACTATACCAATTTTAGGCTTTTTTCTATGAAAAATCGTCTGATTTGTCAGCAGATGGTACAATAACCCATCCATCTGAAAAAAGCATGGCGCTTGTAAGATTACCAGAAAACGTTTTAGGGGGACAGCGGGGTATAGTAAGCATGGCAACATTACGACATGATTTTGTCTGTAACATCAGCTCAAATAAATGTAGTGTTTCACTTTCATCGTTATGGGAATCTGGAGATCTCTTCTTGAGAGGTCTCTACCGCTATTCGCTAACAGTAATACCCTAATGAGCTTCTTGTTCTACTGTCCCTTACTTTGGTCTCCTAAATGTATCATTAGTTATGAAGATTCAGGGATATGATGATACGCAATAGAATACAGGAGCACTGAAACAGGTGGTACATGTAACCGTGTGGTAATGAGAAGGGTGGTGCCCACATACCCGTGCTACAACCACGTGTGTCGTGTGGTACGTGCTCTGAAGTGTAAAGTAACTAGTTAGGTCATAGTAAATACACCTGTATTCTGATTAACTGGGAGATACTCAGTGTATTAAAGAGCTACTCCAGTTGTTGGGGTTAACACACCTGACTGCACTTATATTATATATTATAAAGGAGCAGTGTTGTTTATAAAGGAGCAGTGTAGTAGGAGGGTCAGTGGTCACGTGACTTCATACCTCATATAGCCTCTAAATGATGGCTAGTCTTTAACAGCTCCCAAGAGCTGAGTCTATAACTACCAGCTAAATGGTATATAAGGTTCATATAATACGGGCCTCTAGTGTACCTCTTTATCTAGGGTACTATATACTAGTGTACACTACTTTTTCTGTTGTATCGTTATTCTGGACTGACGGACTCGTTTGGTACTGGTTCAATATTACCAATGAATACTTAATATTACAATCTGTTAAATTCATATAGAATCGTTATTATCGGGGCTGTAAAACATGTCCTTCTGGCTTCTTTGAAAATAACCCCCTAAAACGTACCTTTGCCATTTTTGAAACCCTTTCTCAAAAATTGGGACAGAAATCCCTTTTAAAGCCTGATAAGCTGATCCGCCTGATAAGAAACCTTGGTTCGCAATCAGCATGTTACGCTAGCTGTGTAATGAGCTCTTACGTAATTACACTAAACCTCCAATGAATAATTAATAACCAGGTTATTACCTGGAGTAGCAGCAGCAACCCTCTCTGTACCCTCTCTATATTCTGTAACCCTCCAATATAACATTATAACCACACTTTATGACAGCGTTACTCTGTCTGGGTTCTTAGGATCAGGTCACGTGACCAGATACTCTAGTCATGTGACCAGATACTCTAGTCTCCAACATATTCAATATTAATACCTCGCCATCCCTCCCTCTCTCTCCTTCCCTCTCTCTCTCCCTCTCTCCCCCAAATGACTCTGAATCACTTATACCCTACAAGGGGTTATTGCTACAGAGGGATGGAGAGAGAGATCACCCAACCTACCCGTTCTCTCTCTCTCTCTCTCTCTCTCTCTCTCTGCGTTATACTGCAGCTTGTTGCTTTCTTGTAGCTCTGTCTTTTGCTGTGATACGAGTCGCGCGACTACTTTCTTACACGAGGTAGCTGTTGTCGCGCGACTATTTTCTTACATCAAAGCGTTTAAATAACATTGGCCTCTAAAATAATTCCTTATTTTTTAATAGGCGTTTTTAACAGCAGTAACGTCTCTTTGTAATATACACTACTGAAACTTCTCTCTTTTGAGGTACAAACAACGGTTTAACTTTTTAGATCGCGGAAGTTTATATTTATTATATTTTCTTACTTGAAGTCAAAGTTCCTTCAAGTAGATTGTTGGACGTGTACTGGTATCTGCTATTACAGTGGTAACTAGGGTTACTGTTGTCATGGTTACCGTTGATTTAGATTTAGAACCTTATTCCCAGAAACAATTTAGATAGTCAAATTAAGCATTTCTGACTGCAGAATGATTGTTTTCTAGTCCTGGCGCGCCCTTTTGTACAACTCATTGTAGAAATCCTTATGTTAACTTGTATTTGGGGATTGAAAGCTCCTCGTTCTCTAGATGTGTCAGGCGAGGTATAAAAAGGAAAGTTTTAATTTATTTAAGAAATTATAACCAATAGAAACCTGTCACTTAAAGGCCTATCAGTAAAGTACTTGTTTGTTTGTTTGTTTATAGAACCCGTCCCCAATCTCGTATTGGAAAATGACTAAACTCAGGTCTGAGTGTGAATACGGGTGGTACCTGCAAGAGTGTTCATTAAGCATTTAGAGTTCTGTAAAACTGCAGTTACAATTGTGCTAGAGTATTTTTAGTATATGCGATTGGTATCAGAAATATATCCCTACATGCTTCCAAAATTTGTAAAGCCGTAGTACATACATATCACATTACACCAGAGCCTACACAGTGCAATCTCCTCCAGTCTATCTGCGCCGCGTATATTTGTATAATATACACGGCGCAGACTGGAAAAAACCACACTCTGCAAGTTCAATCCAGTGCAATGCTACATGTACGTACTACGGCTTCATCTCCAACTTTCTGCACAATGTACTGGAATGTTTTGAAGGAAAAGAAAGAACAAAAAAAGTGATATATATAAATAAAATCAGCGATTTAATGTTAGCCTTGGGACAGTAACTTTAATTCCCTGGTTTCTAAAATCAGCTTTTAAAAAAAAAATAATAAAGTATGTAACGTCGATACCAAACCGATTATTGAGCGATAATAACTGAGTAGTTGATTCCTGGGTTGCAGAGTCATTCAGATGTTCCAGTCTTCGAATGTGGTTCTTGTTCAGTTCTTGACCAGAAGTGTCTAATGAAGTAAGTCAGACAAGCAAACTTTTCCTTAAATGCTCATATAAGTCGTCTCAATCCCAGAAATTATGAATGATGACCCAGTGTAAAAGTGCAGAAATCGGCCGAAAATAACAAAGACTAAAAACAGTTAAAAGTGAAAGGATTCAAACACAAGGAAAATTAATAACTTAGAGCGTAATAAGGAATATCTCCAAACGGAGTTTTCTGAGAGGGTGAGAGGTTCTTTAATTAGAGCTAATGATTAAATGAGACCCACTAAAGGTACTAAATTAACCGGACTGCTAGCAAGGAATCGAGAGTCCAGTAAAGTACTTAAAGTGTCAGTGATTATAGCAGCTGTACCTCACATATCTCCTTGTTTGGTGCTAATAAATTTCATATTTCTTTATATGGTATTATTATACCACATTTCCTTATTTGGTATTATCATATCTTATTCTAAGACAGCTACTCAGGAGACGATTCCTACATTTTGTTTTATGATCATTACTGTGTTGGGTTCTTCTCAGACGTTCGCTTTCTCGCGTGATTTGTTTTCTAATATTATTTTCATTTAAAATTCCAACTTTTTCTCATTTATTCTCCCAATTTGAACACTCACTTTTACTTACTATCCTCCACTGACTCTGATATGATTTAATAGATAGTTGAGAAGGTTAGGAACTGGTGAAAGCAGCCTCAGTATTCCGTCTCTCTCACGACCCAGCCCTCCTTGGAAGAACATCGTCCTCAACCCAGCCTCCTTTCCCTCGCCCGGTGAAGTTGTCAGATCACCTGGTAAACCCTGCCCTGTAAGTTTTACAGTACCGAGTGAAGGAAAAGAGGACGAATTGAGGGAGGAAAAGGAGGGAAGCTGCCCTCTCGCTAGACCGGCTTCTGTGGATTTAGAAGATCCTGTACTAATAGGACATTCAATTGAACACTCAGTTGAACATCCTTCTCAAGACTCACTCGGAAATCTGTCAGGAAATACTACTGAACCAGCAGAACAAACCCCCTCTCAGTCTGAGAAGAAGATAGACAACAATCACGTATCTGAGAGTTCTCCACTTAAAAGCAGCACTCACTTCAGCTACTCGTCAGAGAAACCCTCTTCCCTCCCCCTCCACTCCACCTCCTCCCTCCCCCTCCACTCCACCTCTCCCCTCCCCCTCCACTCCACCTCCTCCCTCCCCCTCCACTCCACCTCTCCCCTCCCCCTCCACTGCACCTCCTCCCTCCCCCTCCACTCTCCTAACACCGCCTCCCCGCGAGAAGAGAGATCCTCTAGCAGATCCTCTTACCCTGACTCACCTGTAGAGTGCACTCCTTCTTGTATATTTATGTTCAAGAAACTTGCGTGTAATGTTATCCCTGTGTGGTGCTCTTTTATCAGCTGCAGGTGAGATAGTAGTAACTATGGTAACTGTTGTCATGGTAACTTTAGTGGTAGCTAGTGTAACTGTTGTCATGGTAACTAGTGTAACTGTTGTCATGGTAACTGGGGTAATTGTTGTCATGGTAACTATAGTGGTAACTATGCCACTATGGTAACTGTTGTCATGGTAACTAGAGTGGTAACTAGTGTAGCTGTTGTCATGGTAACTGGGGTAAATGTTGTCATGATAAGTGGTAACTATAGTGGTAACTATAGTGGTAACTATAGGGGTAACTTTTGTAATGGTAACTAGCAGCGTAACGTCTGATGTTGACATCCATATGTGAGTTAGTCGACACTCGACACACCCTGAGATAACCTCAATTTAATGACTTTCAAGCTAACGAAAGGTTGTTTTCAGAATATCCAACGCGAAAAAGCCGAAAGATACGGAGTTCAAGGCGAAAGACGCTGAAAATTTAGACAAGCAGAACATGAGAGACGTTCAATTGTCGGAATACGAAAAGAGGAAGAGACAGATGAAGGAACTTGACAAGTTAGTTTCACTTTCACTTTCACTTAGCTTGTTAAACACCATAGTGATACAGTTATCACCAAAGTAACACCATGGTATCACCATGGCAACACTAATATCACCATAGTAACACTGATATCACCATAGTAACACTGATATCATCATAGCAACACTAACACCTCGTCTCCCAGTCAACAAGAAGAGCCACCAGATGACCAGTTGGACGAGTCTGATGACGGAGGAGAACTAGACGAGATAACAGCGGTACAATCCCAGCCCCTTGAAGAGGAGACTATTGTTAACCCTAACTTTATTCACCACTACATACCCCGCCAATCTTCTCGTTCTGGCTCAATCAGGAGCAGCTGAACTAATTAGTCAATTAGTCGACTAATTAGTTAATTGACTAACGAGGTGGTGGGCCTGATATGTGAGGGTTAATCTGTGTGAAAGGTCGCTGTTTTAGGTTACAATTAACCAACTAGAACGGGGCTGCAGCTTCAAAACTTTATTTTTATCAGTGAATTTAAAATGAATTACCTTAAATTTATACGTGCTGACTTGGTTTTTAAAACGATAATATTCAAATCTTGAAAATTCATCAGTCAACTGCGACTGCACAGCTATCAAAATTTTAAGTTTGAGTTTTTACTTTTCTATTTTCTCTCTGTGTGAGAATGTTTTATTTGATAATAATGCAAAAAGAAATGAAGCTATTTTTAGTTAGGGTCTAGTTACCATGACAGCAGTATACACTACTACTCTACATACGCAGCCACGCTTTCAGTTTCAATTGTAAATATTGCAATACATTATAATACTCCACCGGATTTTAGTTAATTAAAACTATCATCCTCGCTTTTAGTTTTAAATCATTTAAAGTTTACTAAACAGTATTATTGTCTCAAATAACCCCTCTTTGAAATGCCCGCTAAATTTCCGCCAGGGACGGATGTAAAGGATGAGTTAAATTGGTAGAATATAGTGGACCTGTTTGAAGTTGGTTTCTGGGTAGCCAACAGGAGCACGTAGTTTGAACACGTGATATTGATACTCAGTCAGCGTGTAGCCTACTTGATGTACGAGCCGTAGAGCCGTTGTGAACCATGGTGTTAAAAGCGCTTCTTCTCTGAAGAATTGAGGCTGGCTGGAAGCTAACTTCAGATTGTGTAATCTATCTTATTCTATCTTTCTCTCTCGATTGTATGATTTATTTGTAAATTATAACGACTCACTGAAGATCGAATTTGATTATTCATGATGATTAATAATGGTAACCATGGTAACATTTGATTCAAGTATTTAAAAAGTGTAGATCAGTAAAAAATATCAAATTTCCATGAACCTGTTCTAGTTTTGCTTAGGGATTCTCTGTAAAAACTACCGCTTTGATTTTCAAACGATCATGATTGTAATTTTAGCTATTTAAAAAACTTTAAAAACGCGTATATAGATCTTGTCCAATAATAAAATAACACTAGCTTGAGATAATCGCACTATTTAGTGTAGTTGTTGTGTTCGATCGACTGTCTGGCTCTGTAAGTCGCGCAGTACTTAACATGGTGGTGACGCTTTCTCAATCGCTTTTAACACCATCAGCTAATTTTAACATCATCAGCAAATTTTAACACCATCAGCATAATTAAACACTCTTCAGTCAATACTATTACTCTAGTTCAGCTGATGTCTACATACAGTGCAATCTTTCAGCAATCTCTATATCTGATAATTTCCATCTGACATGACAGGAATACTATCTATTTGTGACATGACCTTATATGGTAGTGTTACCATAGTTACACTACCATATAATGTTACATGTGGAGCTATCTATTTGACATCTTCTTCAGCACGTCCGATACTATCTTCTTCTTGTACATCTCCCAGTGTCTCCGCCTCAAGAACCTCTCAAAAGCCTCCTCCACCGTCAGGGTACTTCCCAGCTCTATTGCTGCCATGTCCTGAAAGTGAAAGTGAAAGTGAAACTAGACAAATTGTTAAAGTGAACAAGGTAAATTCATAAAGTGAGACTAGTCATTTTGTTGGTGATTGTGTTTGTTTTCAGAGTCAAGCTAAATAAACTGTATCAGAAAGATACCAGGCATCATGTTCTGGATTTGAGGAAGTTACACTTAAATCAGACATATTCTCAAATTAGAAAAAAAGTAAACCTAACTCAAACTAACTTTAACAGTAACTCTAACAGTAACTCTAACTCTAACTCTAACTCTAACTCTAACTCTAACTAACCTCCAGAACGGAGAGCATGTTGAACCTCTGGAAGAGAATTTTAGGTAACAATAAACATTCCACTTTCTTCTCCGCTCCAACGTTACACTTGTTTTGAGCGATAAAGTCTGACACACTGAAGTACTCCTTAGGTCCGATCCTACGCAGAATTAGGTGATATCTGAAACACATTGTTTCAGAAGGTAAAATTCTGAGTAACAGTAACGTAAGCTTAACAGAAACCTAAATAATAGTAACCAAGGTAACAGTAAGCAAGGTAACAGTAACCAAGGTAACAGTAACCAAGGTAACAGTAACCAAGGTAACAGCAACCGAAGTAACAGTAACCTAGGTAACAGTAACCTAAGTAACAGTAACCTAAGTAACAGTAACCTATGTGACAGTAACCGAAGTAACAGTAACCTAGGTAACAGTAACCTAGGTAACAGTAACCTAAGTAACAGTAACCTAAGTAACAGTAACCTAAGTAACAGTAACAGTAACATAAGTAACAGTACTCCAAGTCCTAACAATAAAGCACTAACTGTCTGGATGTGACTGATTTGACGTCATTACGGAAGTAGTCTCTGTATCTTGACACGGCCTCCTCCTCTAACTGTGCTGTAGCGTAGGGCCTGTCTCCATCTGAGTTTCCTGAGTGGTTACTGTGGTAACTAGTTGGTTACTGTGGTAACCAGATGGGTAGTTCGAGCGGATACCGCTGCCGGTAGAGTACTGGTCGGGCGCCACAGGGAAGTTGATTGATCTCCAAAGAAAGATAATATGATCTCCATTACATTTAACGGGTGATACTCGTAAAATATTTGTTTCAAGTATAAAAATAACAGGACCGTCGACGAGTCCAACTCGGCGCGCGTCCTGGTAGGTTATAAACCTACAACAACACATGACCACTTCATAGTCAGGATAGTGCAGCTATAACCTTGTAACACGTTCGTTTCAAGTGATAGTGATACTGATATGACCACTTAATCTTATTCAATACCGAAATAAAAATGATGCTTGGGAGTGGATCTCATTCATGTTTCCTATGTAAATCATTTCAAGACGGCATAAAATCATAGTATGCCTGATCCTCTGAATACACCTACAACGAGAAGATCCCTAAACCCTACACGACCATGCCTTAGAACAACGTAAAGATTACCCACTCAAGGACTGCTGCAAAGGGGTCGTTCACAATTCACATATTATATAATCAGGCGAGGGGGGTTTCCAAATGATTACGCTAGTCATGTTATTTTGACACAATAGCTATGTGTAAAAACGTTTACGGAGGGGGGGGGTACAAATTGTCCAAAAAATGATTACGTAATATCACTCAATATGTGAACGACCCCGAACAAAACACGATTCAAGTCCACCTTCGGCTGCATGCCGGCGCCTTTGCCCTTTCCGGCAGCGGTATCCAGCACCCTACCGGCGCTCTACCGGCAGCGGTATCCAGCACCATACCGGCACTCTACCGGCGATCTACCAGCAGCGGTATCCGCTCGAACTACCCTACTCCTAGTGGTAGGTCTAATACTCATAATATCATTTTTCAGCTGTGGTTTCGTTTTTTTTTGTATTATTTCAGAATGCAGAGAATCTCTGTTGAAGTAATGTTGAAGTAATGTTGAAATAATGTTGAAGTAATGTTGAAGTAATGTTGAAGTAATGTTGAAGTAATGTTGAAGTAATGTTGAAGTAATGTTGAAGTAATGTTGAAGTAATGTTGAAGTAATGTTGTCAGGATAATATATGCTTTTCTCCACCCTCTAAAGGAAGTACCCACTTGAACAGCTGGAGGAGGAGGATTTAGTTGGGGTACTCATTATTCTGGAGCTGCAGGAGTGCCCTTGTGTCTGGGCGAAGATCCTTTTATCAGAGGAGACTGGGGGTAGTTTGTCTGGGATTAAGTCTGATGGTTAGTTTTACTAGTTTTACTAACAAGTCTAATGGTTAGAGCACTCTTACTAGTTTTACTTAAACAGTTAAACATGGCTGTTCATTTAGAGGTATCAAAATTCATATATATATCATAGTCACACTTGATATTATGAAGTTATTGAAGCTATTTCAGCTGTTCGGAATTTTAAAATCATTATTCAAACCCAACAAGACTTATAATCATTTTTTGTTAATTTAGATTCCAATACCCATAAACTGTTAAAATGTAATTCAGATTCGGTGGTACGGCTCCAGAATCCAAATTTGTTAACAAACTGGAGCCACGCAACCGGGCCTATACCTTCACCGAACTTGCATCAGATAAGCTGCTACAAATATAACACGTGACCAGCTAAATATAACGCGTGACCAGCTTAACATAACCCGTGACCAGGTTAATATAACACGTGACTAGCTTAACATAACACGTGACCAGCTAAATATTACACGTGACTAGCTTAACTCACTGTATCGCTGAATATCTGGTCTGGTAGAGGAGGGCAGGTCTAAAAAGAATCTTTTATCTTTCAACTTGTAGTAGTCAAGAGATACAGGGGTCTCGACCACACATTCGCCGGAGATTACTATCACTATATGGTCAACTGTCTCCTCTCCCACTTTTATTATCATCTAGGGTAGGTTAATGGTTATAGTTAGTTGTTAGCATCTGGCCGGGTGGCTGTGGGTTTTTATTTATAACAGGGATTAAGTTTTGAACTCAGTCCATTCTGACCCAAATGAGAACCACTCGACGAAAGAATTAAAGTTACAAAACTGATTAATACGAGGTTAGATAAGGTTAAAACGAGGTTAGATAAGGTTAAAACCGGTCCCCTTACCTCGGCAGGTTTGTAGTCCTTGATAACAGCATTGTCTACGAACTTCTTCAGTATATCCTCCGGCAGAGCATGAAAAGAGGGGTGGGTTCTCAAGAAACTCTGCTTTCTCGCTATTTCTTGTAGTTTAGATGCTCTCAGAACCTGGGCAGACTCAGGTGAGTTTTTTGTCTTCTCGCTGGGCTCAGACGGCTCCCGTTTTTCTGCCCACTTTTGCACGTGCACTTTCCCTGTTAAAGACTGGTTTTCCACGTGCAAAATACCAGCAGAGGGCTGATGAGCCTTGTGACCAAGTCGTATCATGGTTTAATCCCAGGAGACGAAGTGAGACGAAAAGAAAAAGAAGTGGTGGAGTTGTGGCATAGCATCGTACATTAACACTACTTACAATAAAACAATACAGCTCATAACAATGAGATGGTGAACATGACTATTACAGACGAGCGAGGAAATCAACCGAGCACAAATCATACATTTAACTTTATGAAGGAGCACAAAATTAAACTTTTGTTCGTTATATACTTGGAGCTTCCTAAGCGTGGGCCAGATTTTCTGTTTCTTCTTTTCTCCGTCGTTCAGCTTGGTCTTGAACTCGTTGTACTGAACTGACATCTTAGCTGACATCTGATAGCTGTTGTCTGTACCATCAGGGGACTCTGTTGTCAAGGCGTGTGCCACTACATTGAACATAGCGTACAACTAAACTTCTTCAGTTTGTAAGGCTGCAATGCATGTTAAAACGCTTTATATCTCACGGGTTTTAAAATAGTCATCTTATAAGTGAGTACTGTTTAAACGGATCGGTTTCAGAAAGGGAAGGAGTGGTGAAGATGTTGATGAAGGAGCGGTGAAGCCCGCGGAGAATTACAAAGTCGCGTTCCTCCGTGCAGAACTCTTCAACTGGCACGAGTTCTTAAACAAGCAGTGATTTGTTAATGTGAGATTGGAAAGAGCAGTCAAGCATGACCTTGCTGTCAGCGATTAGGGAATAATAGCTGCTGCATGTCCAGCACGGACCCATCATAACGGAGTCTTTAGCACGCCATTATCCTTACTATATCCGCATAATATGAGCATAATGTGATCTTCATGAGCTGGTTCGGAGAGGAGGGAGGGGAGGAGGGAGAGGGCTGTGGTTCTCCTCTCTCAATGGAGATTCAGTTAGTCTGGTCAGCGTGAGACTAGATATGGTCTCATCTCAAATTAGCTGTGACAATGACACGGTGAATATAGCGTTAACAGCAAGTATACTGATAGACCAGCTATCAATTATCATATCACTCCGTGGTCTGGTTGCACTTAACCTGCGTGTTAATACGTGAAGTATGGTTTATACGGTGCTCTTTTAACATTTTAAAAGTAATCTCAGGATGGTTGTGATTGATTGGCAACATCTAGTGGACTCTAACGTGTACCCAAACTTGATGATATCGGTTTTGTGCCGGTGAAGTCATAGATTTATTGAGATATCACCGTGGTGATAGGATTCAATTATACCTCTAGAATGCTGTTTTGCGTGGGTAGAATTTCTAAGCTCCAAACGATGGTGATTTTCAGGAGACTGAATGCTTGATAATAAGTACTGATTATTATAGTCGTTCATTAACCACATTAGAATTAAAATATCTTCGGTTTAAGCACAGGTGTTATGCACGATGGGAATTCATTTTTAAATATAATAATAATACATTTTTTGTGATCAAGCTAACAAATTTTCTAATTGAAAACCAAGTAGATTCGAGTAACAATTCACAAATGTAACAAATGGGTGATTGGGTGTACTGCTGAGGTTGTCACGTGCCGAGACTAATCGTTGATAATATTATCAGGAAGTAAGCGCCCCACTCACTTACTTATTTAACCTCTGCGATATTTCGTGTGACTTAAATGCTAAGCTAAAACGTTGACTCAGTGCCTTCCAAAACCTGTATTATACTGAACTGTTCCTCTAAAACATGACCCAACAAATACTCACTCTGATTTGTTATTAGTCATTTTAATGTTTAGAGCCGTGCTGTTAACCTGATCTTTGGGAAGTATCAATTTCAAGTATATTTTAAGAAGCTGTGAAGTAGCTGTGAACATGTAGGTACCATTTGTAGATCACGTGATTTTAGGATTATCATTTGCAATTCAGAACACTACAATTACAAGATTTACAACACATGGAGTTTAAAGAATAACCCCTCATCTGGCAATTCTTTTGATCAATAATAATTAATTAATCCGCAAAATGTTTCAATTTTATAAGTCAGCTGAACTAGCACGTGTCGTTTGACGGCTCTCTATTGAATTACATGCCAGTAAAATCTGAGTTAATTTCATCAACCCCGTCATTAATCAATAACAGATTCAATACAGTTATTTACTAATAAACCGGACCAAGCTGCACATAAACAGTTAATTAATTAAGTTTAACTCATTGTTATGCTAAACACATTAACTAATTAATTCTAATTAAGATCTCACCTCGTGAAACTGGTCCCTGTCTATCCTCAATAGCTCGGTAGGCTCCTTTGTAATAATACTAGCAGTTCGGGGCCCCTGCAAAGAAGCCAAACAATCAAAACAATCTGCTACTTGATCAGCCATCAGAACAAATCATACGATAAGAGGGGACAAACTTAGCGGGGTCAAATTTAGAAAGCAACGAGGATAAAATATTCCCGACAATTTCTTCTGTATATCGCTTTAGATTAGCCTGTTAAATCTTCAAATTTGTTTCCCCGGCAACCAGAATATAAAACATATATACTCTAGACTTTTCCTGTATAATATCTAAATATGAGCTGGTGACGGCGGGTGTATGATATCAATACTCTGTCGCATTCCTTGTTTACTGCAAGTAACCCTCTCCGGTATACTAGCTTCCTAGTACTAGTGGGGGACATGTCACCTGCCCCCGGGATACACGTCATGTAAGTACCTTGTTGACGAGAGCAACTTCTCCAAATCCCTGCCCACTTTTAAGAATGTTGAGGTATTTAGGAGCGCCTCCCTCCTCTATCATCACATCCACTGTACCACTCACGATCAGATAGTAGGACTCTCCCGCGTCACCTGAAATATTACAACTCGTATTTAACAGGGCTGCTGTGAGGGGAGCTGTAAGGGGGAGCTGTGAGGGGGAGCTGCGAGGGGGAGCTGTGAGGGGGAGCTGTGAGGGGGAGCTGTGAGGGGGAGCTGTGAGGGGGAGCTGTGAGGGGGAGCTGTGAGGGGGAGCTGTGAGGGGGAGCTGTAAGGGGGAGCTGTGAGAGGGAGCTGTGAGGGGGAGCTGTGAGGGGGAGCTGTGAGGGGGAGCTGTGAGGGGGTGCTGTGAGGGGGTGCTGTGAGGGGGAGCTGTGAGGGGGAGCTGTGAGGGGAAGCTGTGAGGGGGAGCTGTGAGGGGGAGCTGTGAGGGGGAGCTGAGAGGGGGAGCTGTGAGGGGGAGCTGTGAGGGGGAGCTGTGAGGGGGAGCTGTGAGGGGGAGCTAGGAGGGGGAGCTGTGAGGGGGAGCTGTGAGGGGGAGCTGTGAGGGGGAGCTGTGAGGGGGAGCTGTGAGGGGGAGCTGTGAGGGGGAGCTGTGAGGGGGAGCTAGGAGGGGGAGCTGTGAGGGGGAGCTGTGAGGGGGAGCTGTGAGGGGGAGCTGTGAGGGGGAGCTGTGAGGGGGAGCTGTGAGGTGGAGCTGTGAGGGGGAGCTGTGAGGGGGAGCTGCGAGGGAGCTAGGTGAGGGGGTGTTGCGGTGCACTTTGTGATGACGAAATACTCTAATTGAACCATATCATGATTTGTCCAGACTACATTAGATCCATTATACGTTAATTATCGGTGGTCTGACTTTGTTCAGTCGGCCAGAGCAAGATAAGGTTTTTCTCATTAATACTTTATGTTGCGTCACAAGACGTTATCTTTATTCGATTATATTTAAAACATTTGTAACTGTATGAATACATAATTATTAATTTATCACATAATATTGTGGTAGACATATTGAACTCATTCCAAATTTCATTTCCACGGATTGAGAAACGGCTTCTTTGAAATTGAAACATGTAAATTTTCCAGAAAGTTAAGCATTTCAATTTTATAGTTTTATAGATTCACCGAAATTTATAATTCTCTGATGACATTCTTTTCTCTCTGACAGACAAATCTAAGTATAATAGCGATCGAAACGTCTCAAATAGTTTACAGAATTAGAAGGGGGAGGGGCAGAATAGTGAAACCTCACGCAGCACAGCCAGTATACTGTTGTACGGCTTCGCATGCCCCCCCCCCCCCACCCCTTCCAGCGTCCCCCCTAAGAGGGACATCGATGAAATGAGGATTCGAGCAGGGTTCGAGCAGGGTTTGACAAGAAAACTGCCCGTTTAACTACATACAATACTGATCGTCACGTGCCAGTTTTGTACCATCAGACGGAATCACCTGGTTTCATTTGTATATAACAATATGTGAAAAACAGGGTACTTTTTAAAGCGATTTCTTCGTTGAACATTATACAGGATGAAATCGTTCTCAGGTTTAGGAGAAACGAAAAGAATTTGCTGCTTATATGTCTATCAAACCAGATTGTAACATGAAAAGATTTAATTTTACAGCAAAGAGTCGAAACCAACTGACTCACTTATCAAAGTGAACTAATATCTACCAAAGATAAATCACGAATAGATAGAATTGGAAATCTTATGTTGATAATTTTTATGACTACATATTTTTCTTGAATCGCAGAATTTTACTGAAGACATTAAACGGTCATTGAATGTTCAAAATGGGTTTAAATATCATTAATAGTTTTTTGTATCCTCGTTGACAGTGGTTAGGTGTGAAATTAATGAATCATAATTTTTGTTTCCGATTACTGTTTACAGATTTCCCTAATTTAAACTTATTATATTATCCATTTTGAATCCTACGTAGTCCTTGTAATAACTTATTGTAAAGAAACTTGTTATAAATAAGCTTGTAAAGTACCTTGTTTGACAATGAACCGTCCCTTGTCCAGACATTCGTACTCTACAATGTTCGGTAACTGACTCCTAACTTTACCATTCAGGGTTTCACAACACTTCAACCTGGAGATGTGTAAATAGTGAAAGTTCTAAAACATTTGTAAAAAGGTCCGGTATTTAATAATTCCGAAGCATAAAATCTGGGACTTAGTTCGAGTTATTTAAACCAGTAATACCAAAAGATAAGCTCCGGACGAGGAAAAAAACTTGTTAGTGTGTGTGTGTGAAAGGATGACTACAGAACTGTATTTCCGGGCAGACAAACCTATTAATATATGGTCGGATGAGGTCGAGCATCTCGGTAGTCCTCTTGCCTGGTTGCACAGTGAGGGCTAGTCTTATCATCCTAGTTGGTCTTCTGTCAGATAGTCCTCTCTCTGTCAGGGCACGTTCTCTGTCTGGTCGAGGTGACCATTATTAGGTTAGTGCAATTATAATTTAGAACGTGTTAGAGATCTCTGTTATAAGATTAAGCTATTTAGACTGAGTTATACAAATGAGAAACCAACCCATACTTCAATTACTCACTACATAGACCCGAATCTTTAAAATACTATTAATCAATTTGCTTACCAGGATCGTCTAGAATACTAATTCTCCTCCCCCCTCGTTTCTTAGTCAGATTTCTCCGGAACTCCTCCGACTTTAGCTCCCACCTAACCAACAATAACACTTTCCTCATGATGCTTCTGAAGCGGAACCGGCCTGTCTGTTTTGTAAGACTGCCTCGCCTTCCCTCGTTCCCTTCTGCAATATTTAGCGATTTAGCAGTTGAAAAAGATTGTTTCAGTATTTTATCCCTTTATGTTTGAATCTCTCTAAATATGTTCCAGCTGTTTGAATCTCTTCGTGTTTGAATCTCCCTGTGTTTGATCCTTCTAGGTATTAATATTATCCCCCCCCCCCGGCCCCTCTGCTTACCATCAGTGTCACTCTCGTGTTGATCTCCTCGCACACTGAGAGCTTGGGCAGCCATGAAGAAGTCTCCAAACGTGTTCAAACCCATATTGTCAGCTTTAAACTTGACAACAATCAAATTATCGATAATCGGAAAATGACAGGAGAACTTTGGGCACAAACCTTTCAAGCCGCCTTATATTTCGGCTTTTCTGCTATGAATTTAGTATTAAATTCCAAAGGAATTTGAATTTATTCTAAAGATGGTTGGTACGAATTTCAAAATAAGCGAAAAGTTTGAAGCTTTTAAAAAGAGAAAGACTAGAACACGTTTGGTGAAGTGGATACCAAGCACAAAATGAGTATAAGTAGAGATTACTGGGCGGCGCTCAGCCTGTCAGTGTCATTCCGCCGAATCTATATTCGTTTAACTTTATGAACATAATAGCCTGGGGTCCCAAGGTTAAAGTAGAGAATATGCTTTTAAAATCTAAATAAATGAAAAGATCCAGAGCTGCTAAATAATACAAACAAAAACTGTTATCTGTATCAAGTGGGAGATTCATAAAATAAATAATCTGACAAATTTATCCTGGCAAACTTAAATTTACAATGTACAAAATTACCAAAGTATAATATTAAATCAGGGGTACCGAAACAATTCAGGGAATACTAGAGGTGGCGAGCTAAAATATTTCCGGACACTTGCTGACTTGCCCTGAACAACGTTGCTGAACAACATTGCTGAATAACATTACATCACCATATACAGAACAACATGACAGAACAATATTAGTGAAAAACATTACAGCTCCTACTTTTCGTCTCGAAATTGGATAAAAAGGCCGTGAAGCATAATAAAAAGTTGAAGTGAAAACACGTGTATAACGATCAGAACAGTTAACAATGTAAAGTTGATAACCATTAGGAAACAGTTAAACAATTAAAAGCCACTTGTTAGCTACTTAAAGGTATCCGCGGCAAACAGCAAATCTATTATAAAATTAGATGACTAGCGAGTATAGATATCCATGTATATCTAGCTAGTATATAACGAGTATATCTACCTTATCGGACGTTATTTGACCGGATATTGCATGAAAGGACATAATATTGAAGTTTTAACGGGCGTTGAAATGAACTCTAGGGCCTCTAGCGTCCAATTAATGTCCGTTCATAATTTGAATAAAATAAAGTCCGATAAGGTATATCTACCGGGTATAGACGCCGTTTATCGTCTTCTAAGAAATGAACTGCTTCGCATGTTTTATAACGATTTCTGATCATGAGTCCAATGTAGACTAGACGACCCAGTTTCCAGGGAGATTTAAACAGATATACAACCCAGTTCCTTAGGATATACACGAATACACTTTCCAGAGAAATATGTACTGATACGGTTTCCTAAGAGATACAAACAAAAAGTTGTCAAGATTGGGGACTGGGTGAGGAGTTTGTTTCAGATTTTAGGCACAATTTTCCGTGCGATTCAATCTGTTACGGAAATCAGATCATGATATTTTACCGAGTCAACTAGTAGCCTACTCTTACTCTTAGTAACCTAGTAACCTACCCCAAGTAACCTAGTAACCTTACTGCTTCTAATTGCTTTAACTCTGAGCCAAACTTGTCAGAAAATGTCAAAAAATCATGGAGCTTATTTGGAAAGGTTATGTTATGAAAGACACACATTTTAAAACTAGACGAATGGTGATAAGGATATCGATAACGGAGGTATTGAATATTTAATTAACATAAGAATGTCAATCGGTCACGCAATACGGCCCATTGATCACAGTAATTAATTAAAAACTTATTTAAGCGATTCCAACGTTTAAAGTCTGATCAGAAATATCAACAAAATAATTTCGTGGAACAAGCCTATTTTAGATTAAAACTGAGCATGATTCAATATTGGCTTATTTCTATTAATTTCCGCGTTGCTAAGATTATAATCGAAGCAAAAGTGAAAAACGAGAAACAATGAAATGAAATGAATGTAGCAAAGCTAGAACAGACTCTGTGACGGTGGGTTCAGTCTGATGAGGGTTACTAATACGATTGTTTAATGCCTCTCTCTCGTCCCTCTGCAGTGAGGTACTAGATAAGTTTACAAAGGAGTAACTCACTGGAAAAGTAACACGAGCTCTTCCCGGAACCATATCTGAACTTCCTGCGGTACGGAGACAAGTTTCCCTGGTAATCATGACAGGGAGGCAAACTCACTGCCTCACTTTTCTGAAAATAAGAGCAGGTTTTGTTTGACGAATCCTTGTAAGTATGAATAAAGATTAAAATCGATGCTAACCAACAGTTCAATGGAAAATTATATTAAAGCTACAATTAGAGATGGAGGTTCATTAGCGGCTACATTGTTCAGACCAGATTAACCTAAGATAACCCATCCCCAACTCACATCAATCCTCCCACCTTTAGTTCTGAAGTTGTTTCGTACGGACAGCAGCTCACTGAACACTAATAGGTTAGTAGTATTATCTGCACCTTCATTTTCATTGTTTCAGAGTTACTAATGTTTGGACTCAAAGACCGTCCAATGATTGAGGGAATAATTACCGAGGTCGGGTCTGTCCCAAACGTTAATCAAACGCTAAAGTTTGGCTTAGGTTCAAGGTTGCATATTGAGGTCACGACGGTAAAAAGTCAACCGACTTTATTATACAAATGCAGGAATATGTTTAGAAGAAAGCTTACCTAAAGGAAGAGCTCTTTTCCGAACGCTGAGTTTTCACCGCCAAGTATTTGACCTGTAAAGAGAAACGAGACATTAAAATCAGAAGCAGCTCATTAAGGATTTATTTTGTATCATTCTCCCCTAGGGACACTCTCCCTCAGGACACTTTCCCTTTACATTTAAGATGTCCACCCCTAGAAAACGAATCCCGAATAACGGTCCACTGCACAGTTGAAACAATCCCTGAACTCCGAATTAGCTCTGCTCCTTTTCGCAATTCACACCACTACGGGGGATTGTCTCCGTGTTATCTCTTAAAGCCACCCTAACTTGAGTTATCGATTGTTTGGAGGTTGCAGTTTTAGTCCTCCTCCAAGGTGTGAATTTGTAACCTGGTTACCGTCGGGATTGTTGATGGTACTCCCACGGAAGTTTTGATTTTGGAAGATTGAATATATTTCTTATACCGACAGTGACGCAAATGGGATATTCAGATTTTATATTAAAGTTATCTAAGCATAAGAGATTACGTAAGCATGATTTTCGCCATTTCAGAACCCCCTCCCCTGGCCCTTCCGTAAGCCACTTTACACAATACACATAGCTTAATGGAGATAATGAGATGCCCACATCCCCATCTAGAATTTCTAGATGCCCCATCTCCCCATCTAGAATCTAGATGCCCCATCTCCCTATCTAGAATATAAATGCCACATCTCCCCATCTCCCTATCTACATGCCCCATCTCCCTATCTAGGATCTAGATGCCCCAATATCTTTCAATTTAGAATCTAGATGCCCCACATCCCTACCTAGATACCCCATTTTCTAGTTCACCTCTGAGTGATTGCGGATGTCCGGAGAGGAGTAACTCGTATTATTTGGAGGAGAGAAGCAGGAAGCAGTGAGCAGTGAGAAGTTTGGAGCATCGAAGACATCCGGAATTTCCAGACTTTCTGGAGTTTCCGGAGTGTCGGCCGGAGGATAATCCGGCATCTTGCGGTCTGTACTCCGTTTGTTGCGTGGCATTTTATCTTCGTACTATAGTGCGGTATACCCGCGTCATTTTAATTGCACCAAATTGAATAATAGTGGGGTGGTAGAATGTTTAATATTAATAGTGTCGTGTCTATAATAGTGTAATTGTTATTGTTTACATGTCCACTGGCCAGTAACGAGGTGCAGTGTGCAGAGTCTTAACTAGGTGCTGGACAAAACATGTATCCGTTTACCAAAACATCACCGGTTCAGTTACCCTGGTAACAGTGTCCTAGTAACACACCTACTGTCACATGCTACCATGGCAAAACTTTTAACTAGATGCTGAACAAAACTTGCGTATGTTTACCAAAACATTGTTCAGTCATTCAGTGTAACGATCCAGAACTGTTTTGTTTCTGAAATCCGTATTCGTCCTGATTATCCAGGAGTCGTAGTTTTGCTTTTGAGACGAGTAGAGATTAAAGAAATGATGTCATTGATTGTTCTTCTGGTCTGTGTAAATTATTGCACAGCCTGTGACTCTGGCCAAATAGAAGACAAGGGATTTTTAGGACTAAGCTGGTTCTCCAGCTGTGAGGACTGCATAGCAGGGAACTTTCAGAGTGAGGGTGAGTGTAAAGAGTGTGAGTCTGGGTTCTACACAAACTTAACAAGACAAACAAAGTGCTCGTCCTGTCCAAGAGGAACATTCTCAGCACTCCCCGGCTCCGTGGAGTGTACTGAATGTCCTGCTGGAGAGTACAGCTCAGGGACAGCTGCATCTTCTTGTATACCGTGTTCCCCAGGGTTCTACTCTCAGACCCCTGGTAACACAGAGTGTGCGCAGTGTCCTGGAGGACGCTACTCAAGCGAAGAAGGGAGCAGGAAGTGTGAGGTGTGTGAGGACAGGATGACGTCACCAGCAGGATCCACTAGTTCCACTAATTGTACTGGTTCCTGCTCAGCAGGCTACATCCACACCTCCCAGAACAGCACAGTGCTCTGTGAGGAGTGTGCTGCTGGAACCTTCAGTCTGCAGGGGGCTGTGGAGTGTTCTGAGTGTTCTACTGGACAGTTTAGTGTCCCGGGCTCCGGGGCCTGCTCTGTCTGCTCCCCTGGAACTTACACTAACACTTCCAGATCAGAAGCTTGTCTCCCTTGTTCCCCTGGAACTTTCACTAACGTCTCCAGTTCAGGAGCTTGTCTCCACTGTCCCCCAGGAACGGTTACTAGCTCCACAGGTAGTTATAACTGCACATCCTGTCCTGAGAACACTTACAGTAACTCTAACAACACTCTCTGTCTACACTGCTCACCGGGATCTCACAGCAACACAGGATCCAGCGACTGTGTCACCTGCGAGACTGGCTTCTACCACAACGTGTCCTCTAACTCCTGTCTAAAGTGTCCGGAGACACCTGGATCAGCTCTAGAGGGTTGTCTCCAGATGGTGGAGCATGAAGCCCCCGTACTGAGCCCCACTACAGAACCAGTCTCAGAATCTATGTACCAGAGCCTCAGTGAGAGACAGATCACCGGCATCGTCCTCGCCTTCATAGGGATAGCAGCTATCTTATCTGTATCAGTGTACGCAGTTTGTTGGACTCACTTTAAACTGCACGATATGAGTTACTCTCCCAGAAGTTCCGGGCCCGGGGAGAGTATTGCTAACACGGGGGCGGCTAACTACAGTTCTTGTTCGGAGGTCACGCCTGGTGTTCACCAGACTGGAGAGGAGAATATTTACGATGTCCCTGGAAAACAAGAAACTTTTCAGTGACGTTACCATGGTTACTCAGCAGTTATAGACTCGATATGTTTTTTGATAGTACCCCCGGAGACTTTCGATAAAAATCAGCTGTTCTCTAAATGTCTGTAGTTATATGTTATTGTTGTAGTTATTCATATTGTTGTAGTTTGATTGACATGATAGACTATTTTCCTGCATTTCATTCTAAAGTAAACCATTATTGATTTTGGCGGCTGTTCGAATATATTTAAAATTAGATTTATTTCAGTGCTTGTTTCATTGCACCATAAATGATGTCGTCAACATTTTAACATAATTTCAACATATCAAAAGCTAAAGATCATTTTCAAAAGCGGCAAAAATATTATCCAGCAAACAAAAACGAATTTCCTTGAAATCAAAACATGCGTTTAAAACGGTAATTACATCTTCAAACCAATATGAGGTTTCATTGTCAGCAAATTGAAATAACACAGTGCAGTAATGAATTGTGAATGGAAATTTAGAAAAATAATTATATTTTCTCACGAGAAGAGCCTTGCACATTGTTTTCTAAACTGTGTCATATGCAATTCATTTCGAAAAGAAAATGGATATAATATTTTCTTGCTTCAATATAAGTTGGATAGATTCAGAATAAGAAACAGCATTTGACTTACTTCGTGGCTTTATAATAGCACAGCAAGGCCAAAACTATACGTCAATCTTAATGAATTATACGGGTGAGTCACAAAATTCTCAATCTGAATTGAGGACCTTAAACGGTGGTAATTTCAAAATTCTTCGTTTTTAAAGAATTATTTGTGGGCTTTCTAAATTAGTAAGTTACCATGGTAACACTACTGTCACAACTCTAATTTTAAAGTTACCATGGTAATACTGCTACTGTCACAGTGTCACAATTCACAAGTTACCATGATAATAATGCTACTGTCACAATTCACAAGTTACCATGATAATACTGCTACTGTCACAATTCACAAGTTACCATGATAATACTGCTACTGTCACAATTCACAAGTTACCATGATAATACTGCTACTGTCAAAATTCACAAGTTACCATGGTAACACTGCTACTGTCACAATTCACAAGTAACCATGATAATACTGCTACTGTCACAATTCACAAGTTACCATGATAATACTGCTACCTTCACAATTCACATGTTACCATGGTAACACTGCTACTGTCACAATTTACATGTTACCATGGTAACACTAATTTGGTAACCATAGTAACCCTAATTTCCCTCCCCACCGTCCTCATCCTCAGGTATTGACTTTATTGAGATCCTCGTCCTCAGGTATGGACTTTATTGAGTTCCTGTTAGCTTTCTTAGTCTCCGCGTCTGCCTCAACACTGTTGGCAGCATTGGCAGCGGCTTCAGCTGCCAGACGAGTTATTCGACGTTGTTTGAGAGACTTGAACTTGTTAATTGCCAGCATTTGTGTCAGCGGCTTATTTAATTTAACAGCTGAGCCATCTTTCCCTTCCGCTCTGAAAATTGGAATCTTTGTTAGTTTGGGGCGTGTTCTGTATACAATATATAATATAACTCCACTTTTGACCTATTTGGCGGCCATTTATTAATTCCATAATTGCACCGGTTTTTGTTCCAGGGGGTGCGATTACAAAACTAATTGCACTGTTTTGAGAGTGACCGAAATCTTATTAGGTACGATTACTAAACTAATTGCACTGATTCCCTGAAAGATGCTGTAAATCATGGCTCAGGCAGATAATTAGAGTTAGAGAGAGCACCTCGTAAAATGAGGACCTAATTAAAACCGAGTATTTTGCTACTGTGAGGTGCTGATTCAAGTATTGACCTAAATCAACTACCTGAGGTAGTTTGGCGACCGTTAGTGCAATGGTCGCACGAAATAAATTTATGGGCATAAATTTAAATTTATAGTTTAGGACAACATCTTTCCTTGTGTTTGGAATAAGTCAATCCTTACATTGCATTAACACAACACAGTATGAGGCTGAGATCTCACTAATTATTTGTAAAACAAAAAGTGGCATAACTTATGTTCTGATAAATATTTTTGCTTCTAAATTTCACAGAATGTTAATAACAAGTATCTAAACCTTTGTGGCAAGTTTTGTGTGATTGCGAGCTTCACTGAGCTTGTCTGACAAATTTAGCTCCTGAGCGAGCTAGCTTGAATTTCTCACCCAGAACTGTTTACATTGGTTAATAGAAACCACCAAAAAACATCCTGGGTAACAAAATTAAAAAACCAGCGATTTATTCACGTTTTACCAATTCTATTCACATGGATCCATCGCACATTCCATTCTCTCTATATTTTAACTGATAAGGACTATCACAGATGATCCTTTCTGCTTGTTTATATCGTTCTTCTTACATGGAATGTGCGATGTATCACGGTGAATAGAATTGGTAAAACATAAATAAATCGGTGGTTTTTTAATTTTTTTACCCAGGATTTTTTTTTGGTGGTTTCTATTAACCAATGTAAACAGTTCTGGGTGAGAAATTAAAGCTAGCACACTCAGGAGCTAACTTTGTCAGACAAGCTCAGACTCACACAAAACTTAGCACGAAGTTGTGTCTAATTATGATTAACATTCTCTAAAAATTTGAATCAAAAATATTAATCAGAACGTAAGTTATGGCGCTTTTCCATTCTGAAATAAAATAATTAGTGAGATCTCAGCGAGCTGTTACAATTTTAAGAGATAAAGATGGGTAGACTTTTGAGGCCCACCCTGTATAACAACAAAGTCGGTGCGATTATAAACTAATTACACTGGTTATAACATCAGAGGCGTGGAGTTATACGCGAATCTAACTGCATGTATAATACGATTACACCAGTTATTGCACTCGGCTGCGCCTCGTGAAATAACTGCAATAATCGAACTCGGCTTCGCCTCGTGCGATTATTGTATCAATTTCCACTCGGCTGCGCCTCGTGCAATTAATAGTGTAATCGCATTATACGCAGTTAGATTAGCGTATATAACCCCTTATAAACCAGAATAATACTAAGCCCCCCCCCCCCCCCCCCCCCCCCCGCCCACCCCAACATTGTCATTGATACTTACTTGCTGTATGAACGGTTCACCGATTTGATCTCAAAATTCCTCTGCGTATTTTGTTTTGCTAGCTTTATCTTTTGTCTGTTGACGTACTGCTGACTTGCCCCTTTCTGAAACAGCCGGTCATGATATCAGATATGGTAACTATACTTATAGTAACTATAGCAACTATTGGTTTCGTGACTATAGTTATAATGATCAGCTGCAGTTTGCATGATGTGAATTGTCGATTAACTCTGCGTCAGATTCAACATTTCAAGTGCTAACTTTCAGTTTCACTCAAGTCGCATGTGATTTGCAAAGATACAACTAATAAAACTACAAAATTAAAAACCACAATGCTAATTCACGGTGTATCAACTCATACCTCATAAAGCTTTAACAGTTAACACTTTTAACTTACAACAACGTATCTATGTGATGCAGATCTGGTGTCCATGCAACAAGGAAACAACGAGTAAATCATTCCCTTCCCCATAACCACCTCTCTGTGATATCTGTCTCAGCTGCGACGTCCTGTAATGCTTTCTACAGCTCTCTCTTTGCCATATCAAGTTGCCTGCTGTTACGGTGCGGTTTAAGTTGAGGGTATCCGAAATCCGTATACTAATACAGTAAAACATTGCTAAAGCGTACAGAAAAAACCTAGCTATTGATAAAGCATAAAACGTACAGAGCAAAACAACATCTGATTCTGACTAAAAGGCTAGCAACAGGAGATTTTAACACGATTATAATAGGGACATTTTTGGTTAGTGTAGGTGACGGGCGACGGCCATGACATGAGGAATGGGTTATTTATCAAGTCCTCGTCAGAATCCAGATCAGAGTATTCTTGCTACACGTTGTATAGTGTATACCTCTCTCGTGCCCTCCGGCCGGATAGAGCCTTTTGTGGCCGGGAAGAGCCTTTTTCATTTTTGGCCTTTTCGATCGAAAAGGGGTTCCACAATGCATCAAGAGTATTCTCTCCTCTACTAAAGGATATTTTCGACTACTCAAATCCTTTTTTAATGTCTCTGTCATAAAGCATCACTTATCCCGTATTGTTAAGCTAAGTGGTCGCCATTTCTCTGAGTTCTGACCAAATTATATGGTTGTACATTTGTTTCGCTTTTCCCATTCATTTATGGCCTGCAAACTGTAAAGCAAAAATCGGGCGAGACATTGAAGTTGAAACTTGCGGTGGTGTCACTGTTGGTGCACGAACAAACACTGCATGCAAATTGAAACCCATTCAACTCGTAATGAAATAATTTACTTCACTACTACATACTACAGGTGCGGCTGAAATATAAATAGTGTACAATGCAAGTTGAATAGATACATTTAAACTCAAGAAGCACATTGGACAGATTTTATTATTCCGTTATGACCGTCTTATTTGTGCTGCCATTAGCACAAACCAAGAAAATAAGTTGGTTGAAACCACTTTAATATAAAACCACTTTAATATAAAATGATTACAATGATCAGCACAATTTACCATGCAGACCAAAAGGCTCCATAATGGCCAGCATGGTTGAATGGTGCCATGGCAGCATGGTGAAATATCTACAATCTAGGAAATATCAGTCACAGATGTCGGAGTTGAAAAATACACGCTCGCTCATCAGCAAGGTTCCAGGAAAACTTTTAAAATCTTAAAATTTTCGGCCAGAGTGATTCTGCATTATCGCTCAAAATAGTCAATGTAATTTTATTGGAGACGCCATGACCAATGAAGAGCACCAGGATTCAACATGGAGTGACATTTCGGCTTTCCTAAATCCTAACTCACTGTCAGTATAAACTACATACACGATCTGCCTCAAATTTCAGAAATACTGCTAATATGAATAATGTTTGCATCATCAATCATGTACGCAGATGATGCAAACATTTTACTAACAGGAGAAAATATTAACGAGGTTTATGATAAGCTAAACATTTTTAGCGATGTCTTAGTAATAGTTAAATGGGTAAATAACAACGGTTTAGCTCTAAACCTTAAAAACGAATTATATGATCTTTTCGCGGCAAAAGAACCTCATTTTTCGCGATGTAGTAATTTCTGGTGTCACAATCGAAAGAAAAACAAAAGCCGGTTTCTTAAGAGTTATAATTATAAATAACAAACTGAACTGGTCGCAACATATTTCTGTCATGAATGATGAACATGAAAATGGCCAGATACATTGGAGTCATGTACAAACTTGAAAAATATTTGCCTCTGGAAGTACGTTTACAAAAATATCACAGCTTTGTGCACTGTGCAGTCTCACTTTAATTACTGCTCCCTCGTCTGGGGTTTTGCTGCCTGTCTAGTTCTAATGTACCGACTACCGTCACAATAGTGACTTTAATATATAGAAACACTGTTTGTAAAATAAAAATGGGTCTTAGAGCAATACTACCAGGTACTACCAGGTTTCGTTAATTACTGGTACAAAGATGTACACAAAATATTAACAGTAGCTGTAGCTATGCGCCTGTTTCCAGTTTAACAACTCCAAAATAGTGCATTAATATGATAATTTCATCTTTACAATCCTAAAGGCAACTTTATCTGTGCTCAGCTATGTTTTGTTCGATTAAGCTCCATTTTAATCGTTTCAATAATATCTAATCTTATGTGTGAGTTTTTGACTAGCAGGATTCAGGAACCCGTATAACCTTACAATGGTGTCAAGACCCAAGATCGTATATCAGGGTGAGGTGGGCTGGTGGATACTTGTGTCGCTGTTGGTGCACGAACAAATACTGCATGCAAATTGAAACCCATTCAACACTTAATGAAATTATTCATTCATTACTACATACTATAACAGGTGCGGCTGAAATATAAATAGTGTACAATGCAAGTTGAAATTGGATGGATAAATTTATAGCCAGCATGGCAGCAAGTTGAGACATCCAGGAAATATCAGTCACAGATGTCGGAATTCAAAAAATACACGCTCGCTCATCAGCAAGGTAAATGAACAAAAACCAAAAAGAGTTAGAACAAAAGAACAGCCAGGTTTAGTGGCTGCAGTAGTATTAAGCATGGATAGTCCGTCCTCAGCCACAATGCGAGGGATAATCATATAATGATAGCCGTGTCCCAGTCGTATCATGAGTGGAAGTACACTGCAAGTACACTGACCTGCAGATAGTTTCATTTATGTAACCAATGACGGAGCCTTTGTTTTGACAAACTAGCCTTTGTTCCTGTCATTACACCATTACACTCCTTCGAGGCCTTTGTAAGTTTGGACAAATGAAAAAGCAATGTATCAATGCTCAAGTTCAGTCAAAAATCATTATCATTTCAAATTCTTTAAATGAATCCTGTTCTTCCTCCGACGCAGAACCTAAACCTAAACTATTTTAACTTTAACCATAGCAACATGTTACCATAGTAACACATTACTGAAACCACCCCATACTGTGTACTGATACAACTGCATCAAAAAATATATCATAAGAAAATTAAAAAAGATGGCCCGCAACTGTAACCCCACAATGAGACACAGTTCGTGGTAACAATGTAAAAACATTAACAGTCTGATCAAGACAAAGAGCTCACCTGCTGACATTGTGTTAAAATTATAAAGGAGCACGCTCTCCATAATAAACTCAAAATGCATTTATAAAGGAGCAGGCTCTCCAGCACAAACTTATAATACATTTATAAGGGAGCATGTTTTTCAATTGGCAGTCCTCCAATCGACAGTTATTGTTTCTTTTCTTAAAAACCTATCATAAAAGAATCAATATAGACAGTAATAACGTCACAGCAATAACGTCACTTCTAGTAACGCTTGCGGAGTAGATCAGGTTTCCAGTTGATGGGCTCCTCTATTGCAGTTTCGTCTTCTTTGTAGATTTTAATCGTCTTATCAGCTTCGCACGTGATCAGTCGGCTACCACTGCAGATGGTAAAAAGGTTTGAAACTAATTACAAGTTACCAATTACTTAATGCCAGTTACCAATTACTAATTACCAGTTTTGAATAACTAATTGTTAGGTAAAGTTCTAGTTACTTTAAGCTGATATATTATATAATGAAATATTTGCTATTATCTGTATCTGCCCGTATATGAGAGAACATGAACCTGTGATCGAAGCGCATAGCGAAGAGTCCGTTCTCTGAGTCTAGAGAACCGGGCTGAACTTGAGATTGGAACCTCTGGAAGTTGTACCCCGTTTTCCAGTCCCAGAAGTGAATAGTGCCATTGTCAGCTCCGGACACCAAAACACCATCTTGATTCAGAGCCAGAGCGTTTAGAATAGCATTGTGACCGGAAAGGTTCTGAAATTTATTATCTGTTAGTTAAACCTCGAAAAAGCTTTCATTTCTAGTTGCTCAAATCTAACACAAGAACAGCTACAGGGAGAGGAAATACAGAAACAACTTTAAATTATTCAATAACATTATTAAATAATATCATTTGCTGCGTAATTAATTGATTATAATTTGATTCTAATCTAAAGGATCTAATTCTAATTGCAAATAACTTTCTAACCTGTATAAACTCCCCATCTGGACATTTCCACTGTTTAATATTGTCAGCACTAGCACTGCCGAATGAGTACTGTGTGGGGTGCATCACAAGGGACCTTATACTCTTCTTGTGATTTGTTAGGGTTGCTCGTGTTTTTCCTGCTACTATATCCCATAACCTGATATTGGTATGACGTCACGATCATTTTAATAAATCAGGATAATGTCTTAGAACATTCTAAGAGATACAACATCGTCTTTTGGACAACAATACAGTTGCCATTAGGTTAACGACTTTAGGAGACAAAATAAGACAGTTATAACTCGTATTGTGAGCAGATATTACCTGACAGTACAGTCATGACTAGCTGTTATAATCTGCGGTTCTGTAGCTTGTGTTTTGACATCAGCCACCGTGTTAGTATGTCCTGTCAGTGTGTGTACACAGGCTTTAGTTCTCATATCCCAGACTCTGCAGGAGGCGTCACGTCCCACAGAACACAGTATGTCCAGTGTAGGGTGCACTGAGAGAGCGTACACTGCACTTAAGTGACCGTGGTAGTGTCTGATTACCTGAAATATTGACAGTTTAGTCTCTTTCAATGTGCTCAGACTTACAAAGTAAAGTTAAGTAAAGTTAAGTAAAGTAAAATTTATGACATCACATCGTCACACATGTCTAAAAAAATCATCGCGCTATGTGAAAAAAATATATAATGAATATTTCCCCGCCAACAAATACAATATTTTTTTAAATTTATCAAAACATTATCCTATTTTAAAAACCTAATCAAACTTCCCAGTGGAATAAAGATTTATAAATCGCTTCTTTGCCACATAAGGATGAAACCAAAGATAATCGTTATGTTTCTCTTTATTCCTGACATAACTGGCTCCCTCAATTCTTACTAAAACTTCATTAGAAACATTCCAGAAAAAGCAATCATTTGTAATACTTTTAGAAATCATATCTTTCTTAAATCCTTCTAATTTAATTTTAAAGCCTAAAACTGTCACAGAGTTCTTGACGTCCGGAGGGAGTTTGTTCCAATATAGAATAACTCGCTCCGGGAGAAATGACTTCTGGATGTACGTGATTTTAGTTAAACTTCTACAGCATCTGTTGCTTGAAACAAGATTAAGACCAGATATGCTAATTCCCCGATCCATAATACAAAAGAGACATTTTTACCAAACTCTCTTTTTAATTTAAGCAGATTAACACATATTTCGTTAATTGAAGCTAATCAAGTAATATAGGACTTCGAGCTGCACTGGAATGTCTACTGACTAAAGTGAGAAACGCCGGTTTGCAGGTCAGTCAACATGCGCGGTAAAATTTTGTTTAAGCGAGCGCGACGACGCGCATCAGGTTTTCGACTGAATTAAATGATTCTTTTCTGTGTTTTGTCATTGCGCGCTACGCAAACGAAATATTTTAAGCGTGACCGACTTAAATTTGACTCTAGTCGTTCATGAAGCTAAAAGCAGAACACTAACAGACTATCGATCAATTATTAAATAAGATAAGTAAATGTTAAAATTACCTTGTTCTGCTCAAGATCCCAACACTTGACTTGTTTATCTTCCCCACAACTAAACAGATAAGGATGCCTATCACTTACAGCAACTCCTCTCACTGTAGAAATGTGCCCAGTCAATGATAACTTTAACGTTCCAGTAGCAAGGTCCCATATCTTTATAGTTCTATCTGCTGACCCAGTAACAAACCAGTCATTAGTGTGATCAACATCTACACATCTGACCCACCCCAAATGTCCGGATATAACCCTCATTAGTTTCCATGGTGGGTGCCACTGAGGCTTAGGTAGTGGAGCTCGTCTTGAGGCCAACGTTAACGTCTTAGTGTTCTGGTTAATTGCCAGCGCGTTGTTTATCTGTTTATCTGATGGCATGTTGTTGTTTTGTGCTGCTACTAGTTCTTGTCCTGCAGGTTAACCAGTGTTAGAACATTTGTAAGGTAGAAATCCCGGATTTCAGCGAAATAAAACGATTTTAAACATATATTTAGAACATGATTGTACAGAACATGGAAGCATTAAAAGTTTATAAGATATTAATTAAAAGTCAATAATAAACAAACCTGAAGTTGGTGGTCCCAGTGGGACACTCTTTTCTTTCCTAACAATCACAGGAGCGTCCATATCTTTAACATGAGAATACTCAGACTGTTTCTTGTAATTTTTGCGGGATTCTTTAATTTCTTCTGGTGTAGGTAGAGCAGCCCACTGGTCGTATAGGAACATATCGTGCGTTCTTTTTAGAGAACGGAATACTAACGTATGCACTGAAATAGAACGGTTTAGTGCACTGTTCTAATTATTGACAACAAATTCTCTTAAAAGTTCACATTTACTCGATAGGTTTTCTATTAAAACTGCCAGAAGAAGGAAAATAATATTAACCAGTATGTCTCTGTACTTCTTCCTTAAAAACCAGGGACTCAGCAGGACGTTTAGGAGTACGTTTAGGAGTACCCCTCCCAGGGGTATCATGACCGGGAGTACCGGGCGTGCGCAGTACTGAGCGCTGCTTGATGTTGCTGCGCAGCGGACCACGACCCGGCGTAGTTGAACCTGCCATGCGCCCAGGCGTAGTTGAGCCAGACATTCGACCGGGTGTAGTTGAGCCTGGAGTACGACCGGGGGTAGTGGAACCTGGAAGAGTTTGGATAAACAAATAGATTAAACCTTATTTTTAAAGCGATCATTTCAAAATATTCACTTCGAAATTGAAGTATTGGCAAAATACGGCAAATACTCCCGTTCTCCTAGAAGTAGAATATAAGAGAAACTAACTAACCTGTTTGTCTGTCTGGAGTTGGCATGCCCCTGATCTGATAAGCAGGCGTAGTCCGTCCGGGCGTAGTTGTGTGTCCGGGAGTGTTAGGCTGTCCGGGCGTACCTGGACCAGCAGGTACGCTGCCGGGCGTACCCGCAAATCTATTTCTCTTTAACTCTGACATGACGCTATGTTCCCATTGTATACTGTCAGTGAATGTACGTTGAAATAGACGCATATATTTTACACACAAGTTAAATTGCAATGAATTGAGCAATGTAGAATATGAAATATCTTATATAAAAAGAATTTTGGCAGTCGAAAGAAACAAGAGTATAAATTTGATATAATTTTAAACAAAGAAGAAACAACAAAGCTATATCAAAACAGTATCTTATTCATATTGAATTGGTTAATATTATTATCAGTGATGAATTAAAACTTAAATCCTGAACAACCAGGATTCAGGCAGCATACTCTTAACAGTTATTCAGTTCTTGCCAATTTCAATAAAAAATGTTATGTACATATTTTAATGTTAAAAATCTAAACGATTACACGGATTAAAAATAAAACGCAAGTTTCTCAAATTCACACATGACGAAAAACAATCGAATAATACTAAGCATAATCAATTTGAATCTGATAAAATATCCGGTCTTAACAATTGATTAAAAAAGACAGTAAATATTATTTAAGTAGCCCCCTATTTACTCGACTCCCTTACTCTTAAGCTCTGCTGTGACCCTGGCAAGATATCCAGGGTCCGGATATCCGTACGTATCTCCCCGTCGTGTACTGGTCTTGTGGTGGATATCATTCCATACAACACAGTTCTTAGCACCCGAGGTCACTGAATCCCCGATAGTAAATATCAGTCTCCTTTTAAAGGCTACTTTGATCAGATCCACAATATCATTACCCTCATCATTGTCCGGGAAGTATGCGATGCGCGGGAATCCTTGTGTGTTGTAAGAAACTCCGTCTTGAACACCCGAGGTAAAACTGTACGTGACAATTATGGTCCCGAACTGCTCGTAGCCAGCTAAACTCATGCTGTTGTCTACTTTAACCGCCATTTTACCACTAGCCGGCTGATTCCCCGTCCTAATCCCAAAACTTTGTGTACACTCGGGGCACCTAAATGAGGAAGTTTCACTACTTGCGGAGACGAGCGCGTGAAGACACTGCGCGTGAAGGTGGTGGTTACACTTTAGTGTTATCTTGTCGTATCGTAACCCCAGTAATAGCGGTGACGTGGTGTAGTCTGATGCATCTGTAACATTGTTCTGACAAACCGAACATACGTCAGGTGTAGTCCCTGACTGTCTGTATTGCATACACGAACTACTTATTAATGTCTGGAGAGCGTTGTGGAGGGGGGCACCTTGAGACGAGGAGCTAGCACCAGCACCAGGACCAGGACCGGCAACAGCGCCAGTACCAGCAGCACCAGCGCCAGCACCGGCACCAGCACCAGCACCAGGACCGGCAGCAGCACCGCGTGGTAGAGCATGTCCTCTATGTTTGTTAGCCGGTTGTACAGGACCTCCTCGTTGTGGTACTGCAGGTTGAGCTCCTCGTGGTGCTGCAGGTTGAGCTCCTCGTGGTGCTGCAGGCTGAGCTCCTCGTTGTACTGCAGGTTGTGGTACTACAGGTCGTGGTAAAGGTTGTGGTACAATGCGTCGTGTCGGTTGAGCGGGTTGCGGTGTCGGTTGAGGTAGAGCAGGTCGAGAAGTATGAGACCGGTAGGGAGTACAACTAACACTTCGGATCTGAAACAATGTGAATGAAGCGGATTTTCTGAAGAAAATATTTAAATAATTGGGCATCAAGAAGTATGTAAAGGCAAGTGTCTTCATGCAGCTACAATCTATACATCACGTGGTTCCATGATGGTGATATTGGTTAAAGATAGTAACCTTGCGTCCCCCCCCCGCTACTAACCTTGCGTCCCCCCCCCCCCGCTACTAACCTTGCGTCCCCCCTACTAACCTTACGTCCCCCCCCCGCTACTAACCTTGCGTCCCCCCCTACTAACCTTGCGTCCCCCCCCCCGCTACTAACCTTGCGTCCCCCTACTAACCTTACGTCCCCCCCCCCGCTACTAACCTTGCGTCCCCCCCCCCCCCCCCGCTACTAACCTTGCGTCCCCCCCCCCCGCCCCCCCCTACTAACCTTGCGTCCCCCCCCCCCCCCCCCCCCCCCCCCCCCCCCCCCCCCCCCCCCGCTACTAACCTTGCGTCCCCCCCCCGCTACTAACCTTGCGTCCCCCCCTCTACTAACCTTGCGTTCCCCCCTCTACTAACCTTGCGCCCCCCTCTACTAACCTTGCGTTGAAACCCCGTGGTAGAGTTAGTCTGCAGCATGGCTCCCACATCTATAACATAGCCTGGAAGTAAAGTTGGTAGTTGAATACTTTTATTAGTACCCGCAGTCCCATCAAATGCTTCTTGGATATTCTTAGCTACTTCAGTTCCGTACGGAAACCAGTGTTCGTGGTGGAAGTTCCACTCCCATTTAGTCCTGCAAATAGAATTACTATTCAGATGTTTAGTCCTACAGATAGAAGTACTGGTCATATGTTTAGTCCTGCAAATAGAATTATAATTAAATTTACACAGCAATACAATAAGAATAAAAATAATTTAAAGAAGCTTCAAACTGCTGCGCAGGACATTCAAGTCAGTCAGAACTTATGTAACACTGTAATTTTACATTAAGTATAAACTGACCCTCTTGAGAAGGGATGTGAGGGATTAATCACCACTCTCCTTACAACTCTACTACGTGCGTTATAAGTTGTTATCTGTGTCATGTTAGGAATGTTTACTTTAAAAGTTTCCAGATAAGGATCTATTCCTCCCAACAAAACCTGCAACACATTTACAAGTTACTTAAACAAACAAATGTATTGAAACTTTCAGATATATCTGGAGTGATAAATAAAAATATTAGCTTTACCGGGTCAAACTTGTCTTTATATTTTTAAAAGATTAATTTACGGCGGAGTCACCTCTTTAATATTAGCAATACGAGCTCCCTCTAACTGAAAGGATACTTCACTAGAATAAGGAAGGTAGATGTTAGCATCATTCTCCCACTCCCATACCACTATTGTCATACTGATACACTTTTCAGTCTATAAAACTGTAACACTGTAACACTGTAACACTCCTTCTTCAATTCCAGATATTCCTCCAATATCAGAGACTAGCTTGTATCTTGTTCTACATACTAAAATGCTGCCGTTATTTAGAAATTAGAATCAGAGTATGTCAAATTCTATAAAGTATTCTGATCATGTTAATAACCATGACCACTTACATAAAATATCACAGTATTTTCATGGATTAAAGCAAGTAAATCAACAACAATCTCCATAAAATACGAAATTTTCAAATAGCATTGAATTCACGTATCTTTACATACTATCCTACTCTTATAATCTACATGCTATTATTACTTTAAAATAACAACTATGTAAAATAAGAGCGTAAGTAATTCAAGTAATAGAGTACAAAGTTGAGTACCCGAGTTTATTAACAAGTTAACAATAACGGGAACAGTCAGTGGTCATTTGTCGAAATACATAATATATTTAATATTAGTATAAGAACCAGAGTAAACATAGCTTTAAAGCTAAATTCTAATTAAATAGTGCATGATTCACCGTCAAATTGTCATAATTTTATAAATAAAGTTTATTCAAAGTGAACACTGAAAACAGTAGCTGGAGCCTGAATATCATATCGTTTCCTTCACATTTCAGTTTAAATAATACATGTAACTATGTAAAACACGTTGAAGACATTGTAGATTTTGTGCACATCTTACATACCTACTCAAGTAATAGGCTAGGTATACGTAATTTGATTGCAATTTCTGTAACAAATGATGAATGGCAGTGATAACCCGTAGTATTCATTGCAGTATTCATCAATCAATAGTTTTATTTTTCAACCAGATTCATACAAAACATTCGCACAGCAGGCACTACGTGGATTATAAGTACAACTGAAAGAGATCCTATTTGATTATTTACAGTGGGCTGAACTGTTCATCTGTGCTATAATGCACCCTCAGAATCGTGCGCTTCGTCTCGTGCGCTTGACAGAGTCTGTTTGGTGTGAGTACAGAGCGCGCCTGCTTGTTTTTACTTCAGTAGCAGGAGCAACAATCATGCTCTTTGGTACTTCTGTAGTGTACTCAATGTCCATTGCCATGGAAACTACATCACTGGACACGTGACAGTTCGACATGATCTGCTCAGTAGAGTCTGCGATTTGAGGTTTAACCTCGCAATTCTCCTTACAATTCTCTCTGTTTGGCGTAATCTCACCACGCTTCATCTCTTCCTCAGGCGTAACCTCGCTGCGCTTCATCTCACCTTCAGGCGTAACCTCGCCGCGTAGAATGGCCCTGTCAAAAGGTTCCAGCGAGGCACGCCACTGCTCTAACTGTATCTCAACGTCCTGGTTAACGTCCTGGTCTGATACCTGCCGAGGAGAGTGAGTCTCACAGTACTCGAGGTGTCGTGTAGGAGGAGAAAGGTCGTATAGGGACAGGTCTGTTAGCACGGGGGGAGCTGGAGTTAGCATCTTCTTCAGCTCTTCATATGTGGGCACAGCAGTCTGCAACACTTAGTATTAGCGCTATTATTTATATTGTTTATATCTATAAACTTGTAAATTGGGATTAGATGAACAATGCGGAGTACTAAATTTGTTGTTTTACTGATGATGATTCTTGTTTCCGGATTTTTAAATCATCGATCAGTAATTTGGATTGAGAAAAGTTTAAACTAAACAATAAAGTTAATTTCCAACCGTAGAAGATCCGTGGCTCTCCCTCTCTCTTAGCCGGTGTACAACCTTGTCGTGGTATTCTCTCAGATCGGACAGCTTCTTCTCTCCATCTGACAGCTTCTTCTCTGCGGAGATGAGATATAAGGCGGGGAGGGAGGGGTACGGTGCCGGGTGGTATGGAACTGAATAAAAAACAAAAGAATTTCAATTATTTAAAGAAATAATTGACACTGTTATTTGAATTTGATTATCACATGATTACATTACCCAACTTACCAGTTTTCTCAAGGTATATGATACTTTCCAAATCCTCTACGTCAGTGTCCATCGCTAAAAAAGTAAAAATGTCATGTAATGTTATGTGATATCTTCACTATCTTAACCAAACTTATAATTACGGTATCATGATATTTAAGACCTATAACAGCGGGGAGTGGGGGGGGGGGTCAGGTACTAATTAGTTAAAAACTAATTTTGAAAACAATAAAACAACCGTTCTTCGACTTGTTAAATATTTAAAGTTCGGTACGGTCACACAATAAACTTATCAATAACAAATCCTGTTTGGAAACTAGTTTAAATTATAGTTGTACTGGAGTGAGCTAATAAACTAGTTATTCGTGCAATACTGTAATAAGCATAAAATTTAGAACATTAATATTTAAGATTTAAAGGTTACAATTGAATTTGATAGCTAAAAATGCGGAGCAAAACCTCTTTTTTTAATTTAGTTGAATGTTGAGATACAGGGATGATATTACCGATATTTAATAAGTTGCAGCAGGTTAAATACAATATCATACTAAAATAATGATTAATGAATTGAATAAAATTGTTCAATTTAACAAAAACAATGCAAACTGTAGGATATCTGTAGGATAACAGTGTAGGATATTAATCTAAGAAAATGTAACCCAAATTAACGGCCTCGACTTCGGCTGTTCTGAAGTTTTTACAATAAAATTATATAAAGCACTTCTGACATTACTTAACCTTAATATTTCAGTAATAATGAGCGATACCAGCCCCAGTTCATCAGTGCAAATACTTATCTTGAAATTATGCAATTAATTAATTATATCGTTAATTAATTTACTAATCGTGTATTTAACAGCGGATTGGATCTTCAGTCGGAGTCTTCGTTTTCTCCGTGTACTTTCTTCATGTGTGTTACAAGTGAGGGCTTGTTGCTATAGGAACGGGAACAGTGGTCACATTGGTGTCTGACGTTCAGGTGCTTCGAGTTTGTGTGACTAGTTAACTGACGGTGAAATAATTAGTTAATTTAGTTAGGTAGTTAAGTAAGTTTTTAAATTAGTTAAGTAAGTTTTTAAATTAGTGAAGTAAGTTTTTAAATTAGTTAAGTAAGTTTATCCTGGTATAGACTAACCTGTGACATGAGGTAGAAGGCCTCCCCACAAAACATGCAGCTGAAGGGTTTTACACCGGAATGTATCACCTCGTGATCCCTCAGTGATTTAGAAGTGTTGAATGTCTGCGGATAGGAGGAAGATGTGTCAGTTTAAATAAATAAGAAATAAGAAATAAAGAACTCTTTGACAAGGAGTGTTGGTCAGGAAAGTTGCTTAGTGTTACAAATCGTATTTATATCGGTAAACTAAGTGTTAAAGTTTTCGGTTAAGTCAATTGGTTAATTAGTAAGTTAAGTTAATAAACAAATAGATCAGGTTTTTATATAACAAACCAAGTTCCACTAACCTTGCCACATTCGTCACACTCATACTTAACATCAGTCTGATTCTCATGTTTCCTACTGTGCCTCACTAGAGCCCTCTTGTTGGGGAACGAGTCGCCACATTCCTCACATATCACAAACGCTACCTTATCTTCATCACTACTACTGTCGTCTGAGTAACTTCTCTTCACCGGGATAGACCTGTTTAGTATTTTATTTCGTTTTGTTTCCTTGTGCTCAGATTGGGCTATTCTCTTTGGTTTGGGAGCTTTTGTTTTCGGGGTTTTCGGGGTTTTCGGAGTGGCTGCTTTGATTGGGGTGGCTAATTTTGCTTTAGGTCTCTTTGGTATCGCTTTCGTTTCTGCTTTTATGTTTGATTTTTTCCTCTTTGGCTTAGTCAGCTTCTCTTCGTCTCTTATCTAGGAATGGAAATAATAATATAATACATATAATAATGATAATATAATGAACAACAGATAAAAACAATAAGTTTTCGTAAGCAATTCAGACTAATGCAGAATTAGTTCTTATTTATGAAATTGTCAATTAAGTTATCTAGTAAGCTAGTTATTTACAATTCAGATCACTTTCAAATTAGGTTATCAATTAATAATAACATAGATAATCAAAAGTAATTACTAAACTACTACTCAATTAATTAGCTACTTAATTAACAATCACCTGATCAATAATCTGTTGGCGCAGTTTCACAGGATCCTCCTTGTACTTGGTAACGAGGTCACTGTTAGAGCTACAACAAGGAGCACAGTAGTAAGTCTCAATATTGTAAGTCTCCTCCTCAGTCAGACCTATACACTCGTCGTGGTACCACTCGTTACATTCTTCACATTCCACCATCACCCCTGACTCCCCCCACCTGCAGTGACAGTACTTGGGACCCTGCCAAGATACGTTCATTAATTAAATCAACTTTTACACAGAATAATTTATGTATAATTACTAATTATGTTCATATAATCTAATTTTGCTTCTATAATCTGTGGAGGTTTTTAGGAATACACCTTGAATTAGAATCATCCAGTTAACTGTTAAAGGTATTTAAATTTGAATAATTTAACTAACCAACATTGGTAACAGTAAATATATCCAAATTTGAATAATTTAACTTTCAAACTTAAATAATTTTAATTTAACTTACATTAGGGTCTGGATTGTCTGGATCGAAAGGACTCTCCTCTCGTTCAGGCTGACTAAGATCTCGTCCTGTCACCGTCTCCCCATCTGTATCGTTCTCAGACTCTGTGTTGTTTCCTGACTTCTTCACTGGTTTCGATCTTGTTGACTTGAAAGTTTTGATGGGTGATTGTTTCTCAACTTCTTTTGGCTTCACATCTGAACAATGATTGATTACAAGACTACAATAAGGCATTACATATCAAACATGTAATAGAGGCAAGTAATTAAATCAGTGTTTGTAGTATTGGTCCTACTTTAGCAGTTGACCATTCCCTGTTTAGACATCTCTGGAGCCGGGGGCCAAAAGAGGCTAAAAAGATAAGCAGACATAAACTCATTCTACTTTTAATTTTAATTAACCTCTCCTGATCAAAATTTGCTTACTTTGAATAACTATTGGTTCAGTGTAGTAAGAACTGATATTATTTGAATCATTATTTTCTTCTTCCTCGTCCGTGAGAAGAAATATGTCAGTTTTCTTTTCATCGCTCTTTTCATCAGCACTGCTGTTGGCTGTTTCTTCTATATTTTCTGATTCAACAACACATTCGGTATTTTCCTCAACATCCTGAGAGTTGTAACTTAAAAACTGTGCAAAATGTGAACCTGGTTATATTAGATAAATAGGTAATGCAATGACTTGTGTAATGACTCTTAAGAAATGGCTAAATGTACTTCAGTCACAAACTTATTCAATTCATTCTCAGGTGCTTTTAATTGATAGTTAATCCCACTATTTGACATCTTGAACATTACCGTAATTTTCAGTCCTTTATGTAAAAATACTATTTAGAATTAGAACAAACCTCAAAAGGAACATCCACAAGCATGTCCATTATTGACGTCATTTTGACTGTGATTCTGTAACCAGGCTGTTGGAATGTTTTAAAGAGTTGCTATCAGAGTTAGAGGATAGAAGATATCTTCGTGTAATGGATAAGGAAAGGTTGAATATCACACCACTCAGTTATTGTTGAAAAGCTTCTGTCCTGAACATACCTATGCAAAATGGAGTATATTGTCAATAACCCAGTACCATTATGGAAAATGATACTGAAATAAACACATAAAAGAATTGTAAGCTGGGATAAAATCATAATTATAGGAAAGACAATTTCATTAAGTATCACTGATTAATCAATACAATCAATTTAAATAATAATTGTGGAAGCTACATTTTACTCAACTGTTTACTCACTGTTTACACACTGTGGATCAATTCAAAGCAATATTATAAACATTTCCTAAATTTTCAACAAACATTGAACTAATGTGATAGTCTGTAAGGTCATTGTTTAACGTACCAAATAAGTTAATACATGTCCTACCCCCGCCCTTTACTGTTGTTAAGTTCACCCAATGTAAAGAGCAATTTTAAGAATTAAAGCTGGTCGAAAGTTTTGATTTGATTTGATTTGAACAGGGTTTGCAGAACATCGAAGCTTTATTTCTTCATACTACATATTTAGTAAAAAGTATCCTAAAGTGCAAGAATAAGGGGTCGTTCACATATTACGTTCTAACTTTTTTCGCAATTTTCGCATCTGACAAAGGGGTCTCATAATTTTTGTCCATATTCTTGCCTCTGTGACCTCGTAGAGCAATGAGCATTGTTCTTAACATTGCGAATATTATTCTTGTCGTCGCATACCTTACCACGTCGCAATATCTTTCTTTTGTTATGTCAAAATTACACTAGCATTACACTAGTTTACGTAATATGTAAACGACCCCTATTCTCTAATACTTAAAACTCCCGGAGAATACTTGAGAAAATATTACAGTATTCGTTTTAGCGCTCGATTTTCATACTACGGTGTTAATTTGGCGTGGTGTACACGCGGCGCTTTTTTCGAGCTAATTCTCAGAGTTCTCTTATGTGAGATCAGTAGCGAGCAATTAACTAGCAAGCTAGGAAAAAATATTTTGTACCGGAATGATTGATTATAGCTCAATTTGTATACTATTTTATGCGGCTAGTTAATTTAATGCTGATTTCTGCAAATTTTGTTGATATGACAACAATTACTTAACTTCAAGCTTGTTAATTTATTGCTTGCTCCTCTCACGTTCCGTAATTCGTTCAGGAAGCTTGAAAAGAGTACCGCGCGCATAGGGATTGGCAAGTGCAGCCAGGTATAATATAATAACAATAAAAGTGAAAAGAAGTTTGCATTTAAAAATTAAATACCGTAGTTTTTGGCTTATTTTTAAATAAAATAGCAAAAATCGGGTTCGTTTTATACACTATACTTTTCATCTATTTTTTAAAGCGGCCTTAAGCAACGAAAGGTTCGTACCTGGGGAGTACATCAAGCTATTACTTGACATACGTTGCATGCCACTTTTCGCGCGCGAAGCGCGCGCCGCCGAAGGCTATTACAGTTATGTTCATAATGAATTTGGAGGAATTCGCCGCTTCGACGCGCCGCGAAAACTATAAGCATTCTTGCTTCGTAGCTAGCATTCTTACTGGGCCGCGCTCAGCACTCAGCTTGTTGACGGATGTTACTCGTCTAAATTTCTTCGAAGTAGCGCGCGCCGGGCCAGATCATTAACAATGGTCAATCAGCTTGCTACACGTTGTATACCTCTCCGGCCGCAATGTAATTGATGCAATTACATCCAAATATGGTCAAATCACATAATATGGAGCCATATTCTGGGTCCCGCCAAATAGTACAATTCCCTTTAAATGGTGTGACCCTTTTGCGGCCGGCCGGCTGCGCGCAATCAAAAGGGGTTGCAGCGTGTGTAAAGTCTTGATATATCCGAAAAAAATATTTTACTGCTTAAGAGTATCACTCGTTAAAATATAAAGCAGTTTGTCCGTCTTGTTCTTCATCAGTTGATATTTAATTATTTCAGATCGGCCCTTATTGCCACTCTTATTATACTGTCACCAAAGGCCCGAAAACACAAAATTACATCTCTGTGAGAAATAAGAAAAAAGAGTGACGGTACGTGCTTACTATTATATTAATAGCGGAGTTATTAGAGTAAGAAACGTACGTGCGCGCGAAATTTAAAATTGTTTGTATACAATTTACTTTTCGCGGCCCACGCAAACGTACATATTTGAAAGTGACCAAAGCTGGCAATCTTTACCAAAATTTCTTTAAGTTCATCTATCGTTTAAACCGTCGCTACAAATTAACACAGTAAATGTAGACTTTGAAATGATTAACAACATATCACATGTTGGTTCCAGAGTTCTCGACCCAGAGGCAGGCAATGTTTTAGATGCTATCATTATGTGGGTTTCCAAGTACTAACTCCTCAAAGGTTAGTCATGGCTGATGGCAGTCATGTTTTAAAACAAGTCACGTTTACAAAGTTCGATGAAGAACGAATAGCTATGCCACTTATTATTTACTGCATTGGTTCACTTAATTTCAAGCTCGTTTGTGCATAGTTTCTAATATTAGAATAACCAGTTTCAGACAATCTCCTACTGCGATCTACCTTTCAATGTCATCATATTAAAGTGGGCCTTTACCAATGGTTTCAAGGTTATACATTCCGGTAGAAACATCATTATAGATGCAAATATGAAGAGGTATATCAAGGGGTAACATTTAACTAATAACTAAGGAGCTTGATCGGTATTTAATTGTCTAGCGTGTCTTGCATTGTATTAGCAGGGAAAGAAAAGACGAACAAACAATTAAACTTAAGATTCCATAGATTGGCTCAAAATAGTGAGGTATTGTGATTTTGGTTGGAATCAAACATTAAACATAGAAATTCATAGATTGGTACGATATAGCTTATAGCGAGGGACTGGTTGTATAGTTACCTCAGCATAATAATTAATTAGAGTAAAGAGGTAATGGTTATTACTGATTACAAATCGATATTATAGATGTGTCAGTGTTTAATTTTGTAATCGAGATGGCATGTCTGGATGTGTCCATGCCCGATCTGTATTTGGACGAGCAACTATGTGGAGTTAGCACCGCCGTTACAAATTACGTGAAGTTTTTAATAAGGAGAACGAAAGTTAAGACAAAACGTTAAATTCTTGGCATCATGATGTATAATAGCTGGCTCGAAGACAGTAAAACATTTAGTACATAAACTAAGAAGAAAAAAAACCTAAATTATATTTAAACTGATCGATTATTCAGTAATCACGCCAATCGATTATTTCATACGAATTAATCAACTTCATCACCTCAACTTCTGAGATCTGTTTAGGACAGTACTTCCCTTTCTTATGATAATGGTGAAGCATCCTTGCCTGTAACTCAGGTTGGGTGTGATGAAGTAATATGGATTTATCATCTGTACAAAAAGGGTGAAACTTACTTATGTAGTAATGATATATTCTAATAGGGGTAATGTCTACAAGATAAGCTAACATGCCAATATAAACATCTTCCCATGCAAGCATTTCTATTGCTCCAGATTTGTGAGCTGTCATTATGTTAGTCATGGCCTCCTGTGATAGCACATACCCACCACCCAAGTTGTATTGGACATACTCAGCTATTTCATCGTGTTCCCAGTAATCTACTTTGAATTTCCCATGTTTGGGCACTTTGAGATCTCCTTGTCGCGGCTTTCCCGCATAGTATTTAGGTAAACTATGAGGTTCAACTTGGTTCAGTTGTGCCATAAGAAACGTTATATTAATGAAGGAATCTTCGTCCACTTTGACACAAAATGTGAAGTCGAAGTACTTTAAAGCATACTTAAAACCCCATATTACTTTCTCTGACAAGTTGCTGTAGGAATCCTTGAAATCCCCTATTGCAATGTCACCGTATACCTCCGCTTCTTTTACCGCAAAATCGTTTATCGCTTTATCTTGCGTTTTACCCAGAATAAAAACATATCTAAAATCAATGTCTGTCCGATTATAAACCCAAGGATATCCCAAATAGCTGTTCCACCTTAGAATTTCTCTATTTCTCGTGTTTTTTGGAGTGGATAAAACCATGATGAGGATATGACACTTGGTTTTATTAACTGTACTTAGTTCAGTTGGAGAAGCAGCGACATCCGTCGTGTTTGTAGTTTCAGTGTAGGTGTTGTGAAGATATAAACACAATCCTCCTAGCACGAGAACAGCGCCGAGTATAATATATCTGTAGAGGCGTCTCCTATCAACCAGTCTTCTTGTACTCAACATCTTGCTGCGAGTTTTAATTCTAACAACACTATCCCCAGAGTACATTCATCTAGTAAAGAGTCCCATCAGCAAACAAACCAGCAAAACATTAGAAGTGGTAGAGTAAACGCACTGACAATAACACGAACACCCACCAAGGTTTATATTATCTAATTAAACACAATTGGCAGGTTCGAATAAGATTAGCACATTACGGGACACATGTTTAGACCAAAGGTACATTGTCCAAGGGAAAACAAAAGAGGAGTAACCTGGAAACAACGTAATATAACACCAATTTAGGACCAGGGAGGCGGTGAAAGGGGGCCCTTTTTACACCCTTGTTTTGTCTTTTTGTGAGAGCAAGTGAGAAAGAACGTTTTAAACAACTGTATTATAAATATACAACTACAAATAGACGTTTCACAGCCAGTGTGCAATTTATTTAAATCTATATAGTCTTGCTCGGATACGAGTTTTATATTTCTATGGAAAGTATTTAGGCTCGGGCAGAACATGCTTAACAGTCAAAAAACGACGACAGTAGCTTATAAACTTGCAAAATAACGCAAGATGAAAATAGTTACACGTCAGCAATGGCAATTATTAGAAACCACTTAACCGGAAGTAGCCAAACTACTGAAAACTAACAGCCCTGTTGCAATTTATAAGCCTTCCAAAAGTTACACTATAACAAGTCTGAGATAACAAAATGTCCTGCCCTGACCGGCCCCGTACTCGGAAGTAGTTTCTTTACTTGGACCAGAAAGTAGGAAGTTGATTGCCGGGAATGTTAAGTCTCTTACATCCGTCCTTGGTGAGGACCGCCAGACGGATCATACCACCACTGCTGCCGTCACGGTGCATTGCCAGGGCAACTGCGTCAGCTACAAACTTCAGACATTGTTCCTCCGTCATACCGACCTGGGATATGAGATTCTTTATAAGATATGATTATAATGTGTTAATTTATCTGGCCTCTGGGTATGTAATATTTACCAAGCTATACGATCAATACAAAGCGATCGCGTTGGTTATTTCTCTTAGCAGTCTTATTCTATCGTCAGTTTTCTTTTTGCATTATGTTATAAGGGATATTAATAATGGTCAAACCAAAAATCTGTGAAAAATGATATTTTAACTGCAATTTTTAACATATTAGTAATTTATAAACGCGTTCTGTCTGTAACTAACCTTATAAGTATTGTCACAATGACCGTAAATGTAAGTACTACCAGAACCTCCAATAGCAAATGGCATTCTGACACACATACCTGAAAATTAAATGTGAAAACAACAGAATGGCTACAATTAACGGAAACAAAATAGAATCCAAATAATTATTCTACGTTTTACAAACAGGAAAACCCATCTTTCTCACGCCTAGAATCAAAATGTCTCAGCGTATCAGGGGTGGAAACATTAACCCTTGACTTCTAATTTACCTCCAAGAGGAAGACAGTAGACCTGTCCACCGTTAGTCTTATCCCAGCCCGCACATATAATACTCGCTGAGAGCTGGTCTCTGTTGTTGTAACACAACATCTGGAATATTCTCGAAGCTACCTGAACAGAGAAATATCGTCAAATTCCATTGCCTCATTCTGATTATTTAACAGCTGATTTATTTGCAGCTGTCACGTGTATTTATAGTGTTATTATACTTGTTTATTAATGAATGTCTAAAAGTTAAGGCCCTAAATTTAAAATCTAGATCAAGAATATACGTGGAAGCAGGGGCCCTTAAACTTAACAGGGGCCCTTAAACTTGACCATGACCAGACATTACATTATAAGTAAAAGCGCAAAGAAAAAGTCCTATGAGCATTCTATCAAGTCAGATCCAGGGTTATTCCTAGGTGTAATCGGGACACATTCTCCAAATTGAAATAAATTGCTCTAAACTTTGCTTAATTTGGAGTTCAATTCACAATTAAAAGAAAAAGATCAATCAAAATTAGAAAGTTAACCTAACTGACGTGCATCCATTCAACTGCAAAAATGAAAAGCCTAGCTTACCTCGACAGTCGGTTCCTCGTTAGTTTCGTTCTCCTGAAGGTCCAGATAAAACTTTACGTAATCAGCGATAGCTTGTGTGTCTGCTGCTGAGCCAGATCGACAACAGTATATCTTGTCTGCTACCTGTATAACATCATGTTACAGTAACTTTAAACACGGGATATCACAGTACAGAAGAACAGATCATGAATCAATAAGGATATCAAAATTCAGGACTAAGAGAAATTATTTTCTATTGTCTATTTGAAATAAAAACAATTTCTGTTACAAACAATAACTGCACGTCATGATGATTAGATTTCTCAATTATACTGACGTGTGACATAGTGGTAAGTGGTAACTAGTGGTAATTAATTATAGTGGTAACTAGTGGTAATTAGTGGTGACTAGTGCAGTGGTAACTAGTGGTAACTAGTGGTTATTATTATTACTAGTGGTAACTACTGGTAACTAGTGGTAGCTATTGGTAGCTAGTGGTAACTAGTGCCGTCAAAAGGCCCTCGATATATAAATATAATAAATTCCGACCACCAAGTAGCAGCAGTACTGGAAATATAAGAAAAGCTAAAAGCAACAGTAAACCTGGGTAAGCTTGTCAGTTACTCTGTTAGCTACATAAGTTCCCGTACTAGTTCTAGAATCAGCTCCAAAAACAACTCCGTCAGCAAATTCTACTGCCATGATGGTAGTACCTGTAAAGTAACATATTGTTTGAATTGGTAAATGACAATTACAGGGGAAGGTCCTGGCAACAGGTAAACAAGTTACGAGAGATTCTCTGTTTTAGAAGCTTTCAAATTAAAGTCTTCATTTTCATGAGATAGACACTGTATTTAATATCAAACTAACCAGTCATGTGTTCTCCAGTGAGCCATTCTGGAGCATCAGTAGCTATGTCATTCTGGCACAAACTCATATCTAGTCCTGTGAAGTATTGTTAGAATGGTTGATTATGAATCAATCTAATATTAGGCCAACGCTTTTCTTTTCTCAAAAAATATAGATATACATCTGCTTGTGGACTACAGTCACTTTTTTTGATGTAAGAGTGTCTCATCCGTATGCCACATCAAATTTTACTGTCAGTATTCCTGCACTATATGCAAGAAACGAGAAGAAAAAACTATCTTACACAATGGTCATGTATCTTAGGTTGAAATGTGACTGACAGAGGTTCATTTTTCGCTTTGTAGCAAGACATGAATCCTGTTCTGAAATATAATATCCCTCCAGTTCATCTGTAGAGATTTTCAAGCAATTCACCCACACAAATCAAAACATAATGATACATAAGATCATCACACATTTTCATAATTTGATTTACTGCGGATGTTTCCTTCCCCCAAACTCCACAGTAAATCGGGGTTTTACTGTATCTCCTTCCATTCACCTCGTCAGACACTTTCTAATGATGATAATCATTACAAATTCCTTTTAGGATACAATTCTCCTTAAATCATTCTAGATTGATCTTTTAATTATCTAAACTATAGGAGTTCTTAACATCCACTGGTAGGGCATTCCAATAAGGTATTCCTCTCTCATAATAAAAAAGCTTTACACTTTGCACTTTATCTAAACAATATTTATGCAGTTAACTGTTTGATCTTAACCACCATATAATGGGCCAGTATTGGGTTGATGAGCCTCAAAGTGATGCCCAGTCTACCCTCATCACAGTAGTTCATTTTTGGGCCATCAGTATTGGTGACGTGAGAAAAGTCAGCTTCAGGCCTATTCATAGTGTAGTAGACACTTCCGACCATCCTAGTTGTCTTAATCCAGCCTCAAACTCCGTATACATCATGACACGGTCCTCCCAGGCATGGTATCAGCATAGTATAGGATCAGGAGACTCAGTTCCACCATCCAGTCAGCTCCCTGTGCAAACAGGCCGGTATTCCATCACACTCAGAACCATAAGCAAGCAGTTCAAACGTAGCACTGTGATACTTGGAGACTCAAACACAAAGAACATCAAGTTTGGGTCTGGAACAGGTACTATGGGTCAATCCTTCCCTGGTATGCGAGCCAAAGCTAGCAAGATCAGCAACATTGACCCGTCACTGTGCATAGGATACAGCAATGCTGTTATTGTGTGTGGGACGAATGATCTCCGGACTGAGAACTTGAAATCTCCCAACGATGTTCATCAACTCGTGGATATTCTCCACTTGAAGCTACAACAGATCCAGACTATATGCCCTCGTATTAAGATATTTGTTACCGCTGTGTTGCCTTCGCGATTTCCCCGCATGAACATGAACATCATCATGTTCAACAGACTTGTCTAGATGATATGCTTGAGTCAAGCTTCGAGCAAAGCGTGTGGCAGATCGGTGTCTATCACTTCGTTGATAACAAAGGTCTGCTTGCCATGAACTTGACCAGAGATGGGGATGAGATACATCTTGGCAACCGCGGTCTATCTAAGTTTGTGAGATGTGTTAAACATTGGGTGTATGTGCGTGAGAAACTTGAGAGAACTAGACAGAGGAAACCTGGTCAGACAGTGGGATATGATCCCACTTGATCAAAATGAACTTGAAAATCAATAAGGAGGTGTGCTATCCGTGCAGTAAGTCGATTAATATTGGGCAACCTATGCTTGAATGTGAAGACTGCACCAAAGTTATCCATACTAGATGTTTTAAATCTGCTAGTTTTAAGTGCAAGAATGGCCTATGGATGTGCCCAGAATGTGCACTTATCACAGAGGATAGATACTGCCCCTTTGACAATCAAAACGATCTCGAAAAGTCGGACAGGCCCTACAATGAGGGTGCAGAAGACACCCTCATCCAAAAATTTTGTCATACCCTCGAGAGCTGTAAACGTTATTCCAAACGTGAATTCACAGAAGTAGCTACAAAAATCAGCAGTGGTGATGGGTCCTTCCTCTCAGCACTGTTCCTCAACATTGATGGCAATGCCAGTAATTTCGATACATTCCAAGTTGAACTCAAACGGTTATCTCATCCATTTGATGTTCTTGGACTTGCTGAAACCAACGTTGGTAGTAGCTTACAAGAATTATACCAGATCCCATCTTACACCAGTTTTTATCAAAATACCCTCCCAGATAAGAAAAAGGGCACTGGGGTTGCGCTTTATGTCTCAGACAACCTTAACACGGTTGTCCTAGAAAAGTTATCCTACTGTACTGTAAACATTGAATGCTTATTCGCCGAAATCACTGATAGCACTGGTGTTGGGGTTGTCTACGGAGTTGTATACCGTCCCCCTAGTGGCTGCCTTGAGGCTTTTTGTGAAATTTTACAAACCATTGCTAAGCAGATATCCGGCAAGCCCTTTCGTTTGCTTGGCGACTTTAACTCAGACCTCTTCAAAGTTTCGTCACACAACCAGTTATTTGAAGACACTATAATTAGTAATGGTTTGTATCCATCCATCTCAATTGCTACCCACTTCCGGCCTAACTGTAAAAACTCGTGTATAGATAACATCCTAGTTAGTGATATTGATAATGTTTTGCTCTCTGGTGTACTTCAGGATAGATTAAGTGAACACACGTTCATATTCTCCTTCACCTCAACCCCGGCCCCAAGAAATAAGAACAATGAAAAACATGTCCGCTACTACGACTACTCAAGTGCCAAGCTTAAAAATTTTGTTTCTGACCTTGAGGTGAAGGTGAATCAGCTGTCCCAATCTTCAGATTTTTGCGAATTTGTCGATTGCTTCACATCCACCCTTGACAAGCACTGTAAATTAGAAGTACCGAAAACGACCAAAAGAACACCAAAGCTTAATCCTTGGATTACAGATGGAATCATCCTCTCAATCGACAGAAAACATGAGCTTTGTAAAGAATGGTCAGATACAGTAACAAATAAAGATCCATCTGGCAATGTCCTTCTTTATAAGATATTTAGTGACTATCGTAGGATGCTTAAGGGTATCATAAAGGCAGCCAAACGCTCCTATTACTGTAACGAAATCTATAAAAACATTGAAAGCAGTAAGAAAACTTGGCAGATAATAAATGAGCTTAGGGGCAAAAGAAAGAAAACAACCAAACCACCTTTTATCATCAATAATGAAAGAATCTTGAACCGGAGAGCAATTGCCAATGGTTTTAATTCCTGGTTCGTATCAATCGCTCCCAAGCTCAATGAAACTATCACAACTGACTTGTCTTCTGGTATTCCAATTCTCCCCATGAAAACATTCCATGACTTTCTTAGCCCTAGTAACTCTCGATCTATTATGTTAGAGGACAGCACTCCTGAGGAGGTTCTAAGAATAATCAAAGAATTCGAGAATGGAAAGGCCAGTGATATTCCCATAACCGTTATTAAAACTTCGTCCCACGTTATTGCACCAATTATCAGCAGATACTTAAACAAACTTATGTCAAATGGTATATTCCCTGATATACTTAAGACTGGCAGAATCACACCCGTCTTCAAAAAAGGTAATCCAGAAGAAATAGAAAACTACCGTCCTATATCCACCTTGTCCATATTTGGCAAAATATTTGAGAAAATCATATATTCTAGGATTTATTCGTTTGTCAGCTCTCAGGGAATAATATCTAAGACTCAGTTTGGTTTCAGGCAATCGCACTTAACCTCCCATGCAGTAAACTACTCTGTTGACCTCATATCTAAGCACATCAAATTGAAGCACCATGTGTTAGGCATATTCATCGACCTCAGCAAAGCTTTCGATACTATAGATCACTCAACATTACTTACCAAACTAGAAAGGTATGGCATCCGTGGCGTGGCAAACGATCTGATCAAGAGCTACCTAACTAATCGATTCCAGTACACTGATGTTGTAGGAGAAAAGTCCGACCTACTTCCAATAAAATTTGGGGTTCCCCAGGGGTCAATTCTCGGACCCCTTTTATTCCTACTTTACATAAATGATATCTCTAATAGCTCTAGCTTGGGATCGTTTGTCACCTTTGCGGATGACACCAACATATTTGTTGTTGGTAAAACTGCACAAGAAGCATATGAACGCAGCAACGCCCTACTTTCAAACCTTCAAACATACATGCGGGCTAACAAGCTTCACATAAACATGTCAAAATGCTGCTACATTCACTTTAGACCTAAGTCACGTACTGAAGCAAACGTTGAAGAAGAATTCATAATGAATATAGACAACTACCCCATCAAAAGAGTAACGTCAGCTAGATTTTTAGGAGTCGTCATTGACGAAAATCTAACATGGGAAGAACATATAATAGCCCTAAAACGAAAGCTTAACCATGCCACCTCAACTCTGTGTCGTCTACGCTGCTCCCTCCCAGAATTTCTCCACAGACAGTTATACTGCACTCTTTTTGAATCCCATCTGTCGTTCTGCATATCAGCATGGGGTGGGGCAGCTAAAAATCGTATAAGCTCAATATTCACTGCACAGAAGTACTGTCTGAGGGTCTTGTTTGGTGATAGAGCAGCCTACCTGGATAAATTCAAAACGTGTGTTCGAACCAGACCATTTACTGACCAGAAACTTGATAGTAAATTTTATAAAAAGGAGCACACTAAACCTCTGTTTAAAAACAACGAGATACTCACTGTACAAAATCTTTATACTTACCATAGCTACATAGAATTATTCAAGATCATGAAGTTTTCTACTCCTATGTCTATGTACGAAGAGTATTCTCGTTCTTCCAGGAAACCAATGCTTATTATCAATAAACCGGATCCCCCAGACAACCATAACACGAGGTCAACGAAAATATGGAATATAATAACCCCTAACCTTAAAATCTTTGATTGTTCTGTTAGTATTTCTTGCCTGAAATCCAAACTGAAATCTTCACTACTTTCCAACCAGCATTGTCATGCCGTGTATGACTGGACAAATAAAGACTTTGATATTTGTAACCTTAAATTTTCGAAGGCTCCTGCAGGGATTCCACCTGACCTCCAAAATTTCA